AACAAAACTTCGTTTTAAACTGCACTTTGCAAAGTTTTAAGGATGATTCAAAACGGCATTTACTAAACATGGAATTCGATATATTATATTTCAAATATCTTTTTTGAAAACAACTTAAAGGTTTAAACTAAATCACTTAAAAATAAATTAAATCTTTAACACTTTCTTTTAGCTTTTATTAAAATGGTTTCAAACCATTAGTATAAAAGATAACGAAAATAAAATTGTCTTTTTCGTTCATATTTTTGATGATATTAAATAATTAGCCCAAATACTTATGTTTACATATATTGCTTTTTTTTTAATTAAACAACGCATTTTTTTTTTTGTGTGTTTTTATAACTTTCATGATTTGAAACTTTCTGTCGTTTTTACTTTTTTGTTTTTAAAATTATTCTGCTGGAAGATTGTTAGCAACAAATTATTTTATTGCTGAAGTATTTTTGTTTTTGCTTTTGTATTTATACTGTCTTTTTGTCTTTTATCATTTATTGTGCATGTAAATTTTTGTGTGACGGGGCTCGGTGATAAGACAACCTGTCTTCTTCTTGCTCCGGCCAGGATTTTCTTTTATTGTAATTTCTTTTTTGTAATATTTATCAACGGCAAAAAAAAAAAAAAAAAAAAAAAAAAAAAAAAAAAATCAATAAAAAAAAGTCATCCTAGTTATTTATACTTTATTGTAGACCTTGTACATATACTTTAAAGAAAAAAACAAACTAACATGGAGAAATTAGTCGTAGATATAGAAAATGAGGTAGAAAAACTCAATTGAAATATCAAATAACAATCATTGAATGAAGATTACTTGACCATATAATTTGATTTTTAGAAAGTAAAGTTTATCTAAATATCACAGACAAAGGTCGTATGTGATGATCACACCTTCTCAGGGGCGGATCTAGCATTTTAAATGGGTGATGCGAAATATTTTTATTGACGTCCCCCCCCCCCCCGCAACTTCTTTAGGGTTTAAGTATAGTCAATACAAAAAGTGGAGAAACATTAAAAGGCGTAGCGAGGGTGGGGCGGACACGCCCCAGGCAGCTTTTTTTACGAGTGGCGTCGCTGTTTATATCATTGAATAGTAACTAAATATTGTATTTCTTTTGCAGTATCCATTTTTAGCAGAAATTTTTACAAATGTTGCCTTGGCTATTTTGTTCATAAATTAGACATGTAATTTTAAGCCTAATTTACTTAACAAAGTGCACCAACGAGAAGGTAAGCCATAGGACTTAGCACTTCATCTGTATACTGTCATTTTGCCCAAGGTTAGCCCTCTATTTATGGATTCTTTCCTTTTCTTGAGAGGCACGTCATGTAAAGTAATATTAGGTTATTTATTAAAGGTAAGTAATATTAGGTTAAGTAACTAGAAATATAATAATAAAGGTTAGTCCTCCATTTCTGGATTTTATCTTTATTTTATTTTATATTATTAATCTTATATTATTAATCTTGCCTAAGGTTAGCCCTCCATATCTGGATTCTTTTTTTTTTTAATTTTAAAATGTTTTGTGTTATAATAATTTTTGTTATATTTTTTTATTGAAGTTCTATATTTTAAATACACACACACACACACACACACACACACACACACACACACACACACACACACACACACACACACACACACATACACACACACACACACACAATATTAGTAAAAATCAAATTAGAAAAAAGTAAAATAAAAGTTAGTACACTACTAAATAAAAGCTAAATCTAAACGTCTTACACCTGACTTCAACATCTGGAAAAATTTCTTGATTTATGGACATTAATGCTAAAGAGTTAATGCGAGACTCAATTATATTTCTTCTGGAGTATGTTTTTAGCCTACGTATAACTGAAATACTTCTTTCACATTCACAAGTTGTTATTGGAATTGTTCCTAAAATTATAAATGCTGTCCTTATATTTGGAAAACCTCTCATGTCAATGGACTTTAAAGTACCAGATACAGTTGAAGGAATACTTGACTGGTTTTTCCAAAATAATTCCCATAAATCTAACTCAGCATGTATTGAAGTAAAATGAGGCATATCAGATGAATAGAAATTTAAAAATTTATAAAAAATCAGATTTCCATGGTTTTTTAACTTGTATTCTGGATAGTACAGTTGAAGGAACTGCTGCTAGACCTTTATAACCAAACATGTCATTTTCTGGAAACCTATTATCTAGCTCATTAATAAGATTTTCAACTAATGGAGAAGTAATGCTATGTTTAAAATAGTCACAAACTCTATTTGTTGGATAATTATCCCGGTAAACCTGGACATTCTAGGTCTCACACAATCTAGGTCTCACTTCTTGTATATCAAGAGTTTTGGCTAAACTAAGAGCGATAGCGTACCATTCAGTGTGATATATATCAATTTTATTTCTAATTTCTAATAACAGATTTTTTAGATTAGTTATTTCAAAACACTGCTGGGATATGTCAAAAGATTTAGTTCGAAGAGTTACAGTAATTGCATAAAAAAAATCCATTAATTGTTTTGTAATAACTAAACTTACAAAATAAAGAGAAATCTGTTAATAATCTTAAAAAAGTAGAGGATTTGGAAGCAGTTTCACTGTTATATTCCTTTGACTCATTTAATCCCATCTCCTCTAAAGCATGAATAATAAGTATAAAATTATCAAAAAAAACATCAACACCTCTCAGTTGTTGAACCCATCTTGTTCAACAAGTATCTATTATTTTTTCTTGATTTGGACTTGAATATTTTTTGAGACAGTTACTACGTTTAGGAGATAAGTTAAAAAAATAAGAAATTTCTTTTACTTGGCCAAAAGATTTTTTACTTTTTGAACTTGGCATGCAGCTGCTACTACTAAACTAAATCTATGGCTTGCACAATGAACAAATATAGCTTTATGATTAAGAGCTTTTATTCGAGAAGCAACTCCTTTATACTCACCTGCCATACAACCCGCACCGTCTTGCAATTGTAGAGGTCAACCCTTGACCTCTACAATTTTGAATATCAAGTCCGAACTCTTGAAGTGCATTAGGTACATTTAGAGATAGACTAAGACCAGATGTACCAGTCTTGCAATCAATAAATCTTAAGAAATCCTCGCAAATCTCATTATTTGAATTTACATATCTTAAAACAAGTGACATTTGTTCAGTATTTGAACGTGTCACATGATAGAGCCGAAAATATTTATCCTCGAAAATATCACCGAAATATTTCACAACCGAAAATTTTAGAACCGAAAAGTATAATTTCATTGCAGGATCGAATTACAAAATCCTTTCTTGCGCTAAAAGTTTTTAAACCGAATTTTACAACCAAAAAAATTTGGATTGAATTACAAAATCCTTTCTTTTTTTAATCTATTTTTTTTTTATTATTAAAATTTTACTATTAAAATATATATATACATACATACATACATACATATATATATATATATATATATATATATATATATATATATATATATATGTGTATATATATATATATATATATATATATATATATATATATATATATATATATATATATATATATATATATATATATATATATATATATATATATATATATATATATATATATATATATATATACAATGTTTGATGTGTAACTTTCGGTTGTAAACCATTTTAATGAAATTCGGCTCTAAAATCATTAATGACTTTTGATTGAAAATTCGATCGAAATTTTTTTGGTTCTAAAATCATTAATGACTTTCGATCGAAAACTTGATTGAAATTTTTTCGGTTCTAATTTTTTTTGTAAATATTTTCGGTTGTGTAATAAATTTCTCATATTCGGTTCTAAATTGAAATTAGGGATTCGGTTGAATCATAGGACACCGTATTTGAACAGTCAACTGCTTCATCACAAAGAATTGAAAAAAAAATTGAATGCTTGACATTTTTTATTAAAACTTCCTTAATTGCTTTCCCACAAGAATCAATAAGTTGGTTTTGGGTAGTTTTTGATATATAGGTTGCATTTTTTGGACTTGAAGAAAGATGATTAGATAATATTTGATCACCAGCATCAACACGAAAATTTAAAAGCTTTATGAAGTTACCAACTCCTACTTTTTGTGTAGAAGATTCCCCAATATCAGGATGATATTTGCTATCATCACGATATCCACGAAATGCTAGATCGTTTCTACCAAGAAATATTATTGTTTTAATTATTGGAACTAATTTTTTTCGGTTATCAGAAAGAAGTTTCAAACGAGAATTATTTAAATCAACCTCAATAACATTACTTTTGGAATTGCAATGTGAAAGCAATGCATTAAATGAAAGCATAGATTTTTTTTATGTAAAACACAATTTTCCACATGTTTTCTATAATCACGAACAGCATTACCCCACTCTTGATGGGGCTTGAAAACTAAATTTAATATTCCAGACTTATTTGGAATACTAGCACCTAGCAAGACAGTAAGCTCCATCTTCTTTGCTAGAATAAGCTAACCAAGAAAACTGGCTGAGCCATTCAAATTTAAATGATCTTTTTGTATTTAAAGATATTGGAAAAACAAACATAGAATTAGGACAAAATACTTTGTTTATCATATCTAACAAAAAAGAATCATCTTTGCCAGCAATTAAAAGTTTACCTCAAACAAGATATGTTGAAACGTCATACAAAGAATTTAATTCATTATACGAAGGAATAATAACTGAGTTGGAGTCTAATGACTTAACTATTTTTGAATCTACAAAAGGTTCAAAAGGCAACTCTATGAAAGCATTGTCTTTTTTAAAGTTAATTTTAGATTGAATTTTGACATGTTTTGCAGAATCAAGTTGTTTTTTTTATTTGTTTCAGTTTTAGGACTAAAAAAGTGTAAAGAATAAGTAGCATCGTTTTTTATAGCCAAAATCTAATTAATGCTAGAAATTAGTTTAGGCTTATAATAATTGGTACAAAATGGTTCGGTGTCCAGCTATTATTATTTTGCATCACTGACATAATATCAGTATTACACCATAAAATATTCAAAACATTTTGATCTTGATTTTTAATTGAACGAAATGGAAAAATAATTGCATTAAAAAGTTTTTTGAATTTTTCTTAGCCAAAATCAGGATAAATTGATCTAATAGGAATATTTAAAACTGATGACAAAGCAATTTGACATAAAAACGAAGAAAACTTGTTAGCTTGGCAGTTGATCAATGCTTCCATTATTATAATTTCAGAAGCTGATTCACTGTTAATTAATTTAAATTGATCTGAACATTCAAAAGAAACACAGGCTACTAGAACACTGGAAAGATTAGAATTATTGTTTTCAACCTGCTTAACAAAAAGGGAGTACCTCGCATAGTAGGAAGCTTTTTCAAACAATTCAATCGAAGTTAGAAGCCTCAATACATTAACTGTCTTCAGAGACGAATTGCTTAAAAGAGAAGCTGAACTGTAGAGGCAATTTCCATCTTCAGATGACCTTAAATAAAATAAAAAGTATACTAAAACAAGCTCAGTTTATATTAAATACTAGCTGGAAATATAAAATACCATTAACTTTAATAATAGGGTTTTACCTTAAAGCAACATAATCTTTAGTATCTTCTTGCTTTGGGATAAAACGATCCATTTCAGTATTTTCAGAAGACTGACTATGTGGCTAAACTGGACTCTTATTAATAATAAGAGTCCAGTTCAGCTTCAGTTCAGTTCAGTTCAAATAATAATTTTATTTAAAACTTTCAATTCTTCAGTCAACTGGTTTTTATATTTGCGAATATTTGGCAAATGTCTAGCCTTAATTGCATTTGAGACTAAACAATTCATTTTTTTTTTAAACTTTAGTTTACAAACTAAGTCCTAATGACGAAAATTACAAGCGAAGAACATTTATCAGGTGGCGTATCAGAATTTTGTCAAATTTGAACGATTTGGAGCAACTGATGCAATTGTTCTAAACTTTCTACAAATTTGATTGGTTATAAATAACATTTCTTATCTTTTTTGTAAAGTTTTTTGCGGCAACTGATGCAATTGTTATTTTATTAAATAGTGATTGGTTTAAACTGTTTTTTAACCAATCATTAATGATTTAGAGTACAATTGCATCAGTTGCTACAAAGTGATCGGAAAAATTTGTGAAAAAGTACAAATATGATTGGTTAAAACGTACTTTTTTTTTTTTTTAACTAATCACATTTGTATTTAATGAAGAACAATTGCATCAGTTGCTCCAAAACGCAGGAATTTTGTATAAGTAACGAATAAGTAACTATAGAGATAAAATTAAATGAATTTTTTTCGAGTTTCAAACAAGTATTTTATTTTTTGAGAATACCAGATTCCAACTTCTACTTTTACTTTTTATTAAGAAAAAAAAGTGAAAAAGAGATACACTTAAATTTAGCATTGAAAAAAGACTGATGCATGCGCATCATTCGCGACACCCTGGATCCGCCCCTGCCTTCTAGTATTTTCAGAGTTTTCAATCATTCAACCAACCAGCAAGTTAATCCCTTAAAAAAATGTTAATCCTTAAAAAAAATATTTGTTTAAAAATGTTAATCCTTGAAAAAAATGTTAATATGTTTAATCAAGCGCGACAACGAGTATATAAAGTTTGAATTTTTGTTTTGTTTAGTAAATGGAAAAAAACAAACCATTACAACAATTTCAAAACTCGACACCGCCAGTAGCTATTGTAAAACCAAAAACGACAAACGCTATCACTGTTGACACATGAGCAACATTCGCGACAAAAGTAACGATTTCTTCTTTGCGGTGTTCCAAATTCATACTCATGCATTAAGCGTATTTGTTCTTTAAAAAAAATTATTTTCATTAAACAAAATTATTTTACATTTTAAAAAAAAAAAAAAAAAAAACAATAACATAAATAATTACTATCATCTATATCAGGCAAATCATCATAATAATCAAGTTCGCCTGCATACATATTTTCATCTTTTTCTTCTAGAGGTCTGTTCTCTACCACTCTAGGTACATACACTTGCGGCAATTTATATTCTTTTTCAGGAATATAAGGTTTAACTATCTATAAAAAAAGTTATTTTTTTTTTAAAAAAGTTTATTTTTTATTTAAAAAAAATTTACTAAAAAAAATAAACTTACAGCAACTGGTTTTTTAAACAAAATTTTTTTGACTTTGTTTAATTTACTTGAAGAAATTTTTTTTGTAGTTTTTACCATTTTTTTAAATACTAAAAACTGCTACACATGGAATAAAAAAAAACTTTATATACTTGTTGTTATGGAATAAAAAAACTTTATATACTCGTTGTCGCGCTAGATTAAACAAATTAACATTTTTTTTAAGGATTAACATTTTTTTAAGGGATTAGGTTGAATGATTGAAAACTCTGAAAATACTAGAAGGTGTGATCATCACGAGTGATCATCAATGAGTGATATGTATATTATCATAACTGCAAAATGATTTGATACGAACTCGTTTTGAAACAATTGTATCTTCTACATTAGAATACCACTGTTACCTAAATTACTTATGAACCAACCTACCACATAAATATCTACAGTTGATCTACACCTTTTCTGGATCAATTTAAAAGGAATACGAATCAATTTAAAAGGAATACGAATCAATTTAAAAGAAATACGAATCAATTTAAAAGAAATACGAATCAATTTAAAAGAAATACGAATCAATTTAAAAGAAATACTAATTTAAATTGATTCGTATTTCTTTTAAATTGATTCGTATTTCTTTTAAATTGATTCGTATTTCTTTTAAATTGATTCGTATTTCTTTTAAATTGATTCATATTTCTTTTAAATTGATCCAGAAAAGGTGTAGTTCATTGGATTTAGATCAACTGTAGATAAATAACAAACATTTTTAACTCAATTTACTCCAGAAATGATAAAATATATTCTTTCAAACAATTTCATTGAATTTATCCCAGCAACTAAAAAAAAAAGTATGAAAATACTTTATAAAACATTTTCCGAGATTTATGTTACACCATACACTCTTTTTAGCACACTAAATGTATTTTGACGACCATCTTTTTTAAACTTTTAATTAATAGCTTAATACAGTATCGTCCACAATTATTTTCGTTGCGTCCATAATTATTTTCGTCGCGTCCATAGTTACTGTTTTTTGTTTTTTTTGTTATTTAGGTGCACCAAGAAGACCTAACGGTTTTGCCACAGAGCACCGCGGAAGTGCATTTAACCAGGAAGTTCACGCCTCCTTCCTTACCAGTACGCAAAAATTTTGCAATTTTCGTTACGTCCATTATTAATTTCGCAATAAAAATACTTTATTTTAAAAATAGACATTTAAAAAGAGTTCAGTATAAAAAGTTAGTTAAATTAATTTTTTCCTTGTCTAATCGGCTAGATTGAATAACAACTTTTTTTGGAATTACGTATTTAGCATTATAAAGGTACTTTTTAAATAATTCAAAAATACATCCTGAAAAATTCTATGAGTTAAAGCAGCCCATTAGCGAGGGATTTCTATTTTTAAGGCACTAATTAAACAATATTTTTGTGTAAATTATAATCCGGATATTAACAAAAAACGTAAACTTGTTTTTTATACCGCCACGGCGGTATAAGAAACAAATTTGCATAATGAAATAATGAAAACATGTTTATTGTCAGTGTTTTCATTGACTTACAACAAAACGCGTTTTATGTTTTTAATATTACAAACCGTATAAAACAACGATAAAGCCATATTGCAAGGTTGTTTAATATAACCACGAGTTTTAAATATATTAACAAAGTAATCTCGTAATATTGTTTTGTTTTTTTATACAGCATTTACAATAACCACTTATGACGTGTTTTAAAATAAAACGTAATTATTGTCAGTATAAACGGTGTACATGTTTTTTTTTTATAAGCATATGAAACTTTTGAAACAGGCTCGGGTATGCTTAAGCAAAAAGTTAAAAGAGGCTCAAAATATGCTTAAACTTAGCATATTTATAATAAAATATGCTTATTTTAATACTTTCTAAAAATGCGTGCGTTACTAAAGGTTAATGGTTATAAGAAAAATAAAAAGTCGACTTTAGTACAGTATAATAAAAAATAAAAAATATATACTATATACAAATGTTATTAATGAAATAATAAAATAAAATTCGAAATAATTGAAATAATAAAATAATTTTTTTTTTTTAATGGTTTATCGAGGCTCAGGAATATGCTTACAGAAGCTTAATTTTTTTCCAAATCAGAGCCTCCATATGCTTATAAACGTTATGCTTATAAAAAAAACAACATGTAATTGATTTTAGGATCGGTAATTGAGATGTCGCTAATCTGAAAAAACAGGTATTTCGGTTGTTAGAGTTATGTTAAATTACCTTTACCTTTCGTTAATTACAGAGTTTTAAAAAAATTTAGAAATTGGTAGTATTGTAACTTCCGCAATTTTTTCTGTATTTTCCTTTTGCTTGCTCTTCACGATTATTTGTAATTAATTTCTTCGCAAAAATTTGCGAAAGATGTAAATGATTAATAGAGTTACATCTTTTTCTTTGAAAAAGGTTTTCATTAACTTACATAAAACCATTCAGAACAGCTCATGTTATACGTTGTTATAACAACGTATAACTTGATACAGCGTACTATACGTTGTTATAACAACGTATAGTATACGCCTGGCATTAAGTATTGTTGACTATATGTATTTAAATGTAAAACAACAAAGATTTTATTTTAAAGCTTTTTTTAATGTAAAAAAACAAAGGATTTTATAACTACATTTAAAAATATGAAATATTTTTGTATAAAAAGAAATATATATAAAAATGAAACAAAAACCTTTAAAAAAATTGCATTATGTTTTGATTGTAATATTTAATTGTTTTTAAAAAAAATGTTAGTTAGAACTGTGAACCCAAAAAGCTCGATTAGCTCGAATATTCTCGATTAGCTTAAAATAACTTTTTGACTTCCATTCGATGGGACATGAATACTTATTAGGACGTGTAAAATGTATAGATTACATGGAGTCAATAACGATTTTAATGTCTGAAAAAGAATTACTCTGGCATTCAATTGTATTCAATTCGATTTTTTTTGTCAAGATTGCAAATCGGTCGTACAGTATATAGCCATGATGCTATCTCGTCCTTCCGATTAACCATTTTAATATTTATATTTATTTGATCCAGAATCTTCAAACCTTCCAACTTAAATCGGCCCAAATTCTTTTCCTTCATGAAATCTAAAAACTAGAAATAAACAAAAACATATTACATAATCAAAAACAAATTTAAATTTTATTAAATGTTGTTAAGAAACAAAAACACCCAAAAACTCAACTCGCTCGAATATTCTCGATTAGATTGAAATAACTTTTTGATTTCCATTAAATCGGATATCAATCTCATTAGGAAGTGTAAAGCAGAGTTATTAGTCCTTGGCCTGGCCTTAAGGCTAAAAATGTCGGTCTTGGCTTTGCCTCGGCCTTGATTGTTTTGGCCTTGGTCTTAAAAAAAAATACATATTTTCTTATTGGTTTCGTTGAATTCTGCGCATAACCTTGGTCTATTTTTACAAAATATGGTTTTATTGTTACAGTACTTGCTACTTACAGTTTTGTTAATAATTGACCTTAACGAAAGGCAAAAATTGAAGTCTTTGGTCTTAAAAATATTTGCGTAGGCCTTGGTCGTGAAACTCCTAATCTTGGCCTTGACCTTAAAACTTTTGTCCTTGTCCTTATAACTTTTGGCCTTGCTACTTTTAGCCTTGTTAACAACTCTGGTGTAAAGTGTGTAGATTACATGGAATCAATAACGATTATATTGTCTGAAAAAGAATTACTCAGACTAATGTTAGGCAGAATGTGATCATTTGAGTCATAAAAAAATTTTAGAGAATTTTTTTTTTTTTTGCAAACAATCTTTATCTTCGCAAGTGTTAATAAGAATATCATGCACTTATGTACTGTAAAAAATAAATCTCTTTACTAAAAAATATTATTTGGTTACACAAAAACTTTGCACAAATAAATGTTTCTAGAACAACTTTTAAAAACTTTTTAAAAGTTTCTATAACAACCTTTAGTAACCTGAGAATAATGGGTTTTACAAATAGTATTGTCGTGTAAGACCTTGTGCACTGATTTCTAGCGGACAAGTGATGATTTCTTTTGATGAAAAAAACAAATACTTTATGAAAAAAACAGATACTTTTAATGAAAAAAACGACTACTATATAAAATAGCAATAAAAAACCATGGTAAGAACTTATTTGGTATTACAACAAGAAATAAAAGCTTCAAGACATTCCTGAATCTAAGAGTTTACATAGAAGCACATTTGTTAGCAAAGAAACCAAAAAAAACCAGCTCATGTTACATATTTTACATTTTTGTACAAAATAAATGTGAATAGCTCAACACCATTATAACATTGCTTAATACTATAATAATATTGCTCAATAAAATTAAACCTAAAATAGTACTGGAGTATTATAAAAATGAAATGAACAACAACCAAACAAAACTACTGAAACTTCTTTTCAAACTTTTGATTAACAATTACGGATAGATTCACACACTTGTATATAAAGATATCCTGCACTTTAAATTTTTTTTTTTATTACGAACACTTGACCCCAATTAATAATATGCTTGATTTTATCTAATGATAATATCTGTTGAAAAAACAGATTTAGAAAAAGTATTCATCCACAAAAATTTATTTATTAAGAGAAAATAAATTTTAGGAAAAACTTTAGGAAAAATAAAATTATGTGACAGTTTTTTTTGAAAAAATTCTTGAAAAAATAATTTTTTTCAGTCTTATAATACTAAGTTTTTATCGAATGAATTTACAGCAAATAAAAATAATTTACAGCAAATAAAAATAATTTACAGCAAATAAAATTTCCTTCATGGAGAACTGTTGAGTTTCACAAAAAAATGAAAAAAAAACAAACAAACAAAAAACAAACAAACAATAGTAAAAACTTACATATCCATATTCAGAATATGTCTTGCCATTACCAAAACAATCTTGTAGTAAAGATTTTAAATTACCAAAACCTTTCATGTTTCTAAAGTAACCAACCATATGATTAATACAAAATAAGAAAATAAAAGACTTTTTATAATATTACTTGAGATTTGATAATATTTTGACTTACTCATATAACCTGTCCCATTCTTTTATGATATGATGCTGAACAAAATATCGCCCATTTCTGTTACTACATAATGCCTTCAGCAAAAAAAGTCTATGGTTTTTTGCAACAATTGTATCATTTGAACTGTATAACAATAATCTAAATACAAAGATTTGTTTAACAAATCGTTAAAAAATAAAGAATTTTATTTTTAAAAACTTTTCTAAATATTTTATAAAATGCTCAGAAACAAAAGAAAAACCTCCGAATAAGATCAGTGTTATCTGTTGAAGCCAAGCCTGAAAGATACAACTGAGTATCTTTGTAAGAAACAGATTTTAAATAGCGATCAAACAAAATTTCCCACTGCTCTACAGTACCATACTTTATTCCGACATATAGAACACTGGAGTAAATGTTTTTTGGAATTTTTCTAAAAAATTTAATTATACACAAATTATTATTATATAATTATTTAATTATATATAAACTATATACATAATTATGGTACAAAGTTTGTTAACCTCATTACACTCGTAAAACTATCAAAAAATATATTAGTTTTTAAATATTCAAAAACTCTTAACACAACTATTGATAAAAACAAAATTAAAACATTTGAAATTTATTTAATGCCAGTTTCTTTAGATTAAATATTTGTTATCTACACATGGTACACATTAGGGTAGGTCAATTCACATTAGGGTAAGTCAATTTCGGTTGAAACAAAATTTCTCTTCAAAGTTAAGAAATTTTGGATGAAAAATTGCAATGTGGATGTGTATTTTGGATGAAAAATTGCAATGTGGATGTGAAATTTGAATTAAAAATTGCAATGTAAATGTGAATTTTGGATGAAAAAAGTTGAAAAGATTTTTGAGACCCAAAAAATGCAGAAGTAAAATGACATTTGCATCACTAAATTATTTAAATGCATAAAATTATCAATTATACTTTTAACAATTATCAATTAAAATGTACCAGCAAACATTCTATAGCCAAATTTCAGTGACCTATATAGGCACTTTGAGCCAACCACTGTAGTTTGCTCATTGGTTACATTGTGAACCAATAGAAAGAGCCACCAAAAGTGGCTAGCCAATGACTAGCCATTATTAATGACAGAGAGTTATCAGCTTGCCATTTATAGCGGTTGCCACTAATGGTCCACTAAGAAACCGATGAGCAAAACTCCAATGAATGGCTAAAAAATGCCTATATAGGTCCACTGCAAATTCAATAAAACAATACTTACTGGGTGGATAATTTATCAAAACTGATAATTAAAAAAAAATTTTTTGAACCCATCATAGTTAAACTAAATTTGAAATAGTTACTTAACTCCCACCAAACATAGTTGTTGTGGATTTGCAGTAGACTTAAATAAGCATTTTGAGCAGACCACTGTAGTTTTGCTCATTGGTTTTTCAGTGGACCATTAGTGGCAGTTGCCATAAGTGGCCAGCCGATAACTTTCAAGCATGTGACTAGTCATCATTCAGCCACTTTTGATGACTGCCACAAGTGGTGGCTAAGTAACCAATGAGCAAAACTACAGCAGTCTGCTCAAAACGCCTATAACAGTCTACTAAAATTTTGCTATAGAATGTTTTCTGGGCTGTTTGAGGATTTCAAAAGTAAAACCTTTATGCTTAAATTTACATAAAAATGCAAAAGTAAACATTTAAAACAAAAAAAAATAAAACATTTTAAATAGGGATATACTTTTTTTAAATATATACTTAGTAAGTAAAACATTTAATCAATTGAAAAATATCATTATAAAAACAGAAATGCCCTTTTAAATTATATGCTTTATGCATCTTCTTTCTTAATAGTAAAATTAATTAACTAAAAATTTATTAAGGGATTTATTTATTATTTGCAAATTTTGATTTATTTATTATTTACAAATTTTGTACTACAGTCTGAAGTGAGATAAGATCTCAAAAATTTTGATTTAATGTTATTGTCTATTGAATGTTAGACTTCTTTAATGAAAATATGCTGTGTTATAGGGGGCTTCATTACTTCTACAACACTGATGTCAATTAACTTATATAAGCTCATTTATAAATGCCTTAACATTTGGCATTTTTGTAAACATGCTGTATTTTGTAAATATACACAATATATTAGATTATTTAATACAATGCTTAAACTCTTTTGAAAAATTGTTCAATATAAATTGTTTTAATCTACTTCAATCTAAATCTATATAATGTTGATCAAGTAAAAACGCAATGTTTGTTGATAGCAATCAACAAAAATTCTTATTATGAAAAAGCATTTAATTTTGAAAACAAAAATTAATTTGTTAGATTAATTTGTTAACTTAAAACTTAAAACAAGGGATTTTAAAATGTGGTTAATGGACAAAAAAACAAAATTTTTTTATAAAAGAAATTTTGAAATAAATTAAAATTAAACTAGAAATATAATATTGCAGTACGTCTTAATAACAAAAAAAAAAGAATTGTTAACAGTTAAACTTATTTAGAAAATAAAAATTGAGTAATAAAAAACACATAGAAGAAAATTTCTTTTTCATCAATTATGAAACTATTGTGAATGGAGTACTTTAGCTAAAGCGACATTTTAGAAGATGCTCAAAAAAAAAAAAAAAAAAAAAAAATTGGGACATTATGTTACTGAGCTTTTCTGTTTAAGCCATCAATAACAGCAACATTGGCTGAGAGGTAAAGAGAAAGGTCAATATGATTAAAAACAATATTGAAATAGTTGATCTCAGGAAGAAGGAGAACAATAAAAAAAAAAAAGAATGGTGACAGAGTAAAATGATAGTAAGCAAAAGCACAGAAAAGAATATGCAAACAATTCAAATATTTCACAACAAATAGCTGAATTGAAACTCAGCATGTTAATAAGCATGTGATTATTAGAGTCTTTGTCCAGCTCAAGTATGTGACTATTGGAGCCTTTGCCTAGGTCAAACATCAGACTGTTAGAGTCTTTGTGAAGGATAATGATAAAAACTAATTTCTGTATCCGGATTCTGTCTTGTAGAAGGCTTCTTATGCCAGAAACAGCTGTTCTATATAATTCATGTACTGTAACTGTGGCAGTTAATTACCTGAATTTAATTACTTTTGAGGCATCCATTTTAATGTATTATCACATTGAATATTTTTTTAATAACAACCTATGAACCAAAAAAATAACAACTTTATGCTTGAGAAAAAACAAAAAATACTCTAAACTTTGTATATTATATGTAAACAAAATAGAGTTTACTGTTTTTATTTGAGAAAATTTTTAATATAATAATTTAATTAAGCAATCATAATTATATCTAATAAATACATCAATTAATATAATAATTTAATATAATAATATAATAATATAATAATTTATTATAGTAAGTTAAATAAGCAATCATAATTATATCTAATATATACATAATTTAATATAATAATTTAATATAATAATATAATAATGTAATAATTTAATATAATAAATTAAATAAGCAATCATAATTATAAACTATTATACTTTGATTTATTATTATGATTGCTTATTTAAATTGTTATATTAAATTATGTATATATTAGATATATACATAATTTAATATAATAATTTAAATAAGCAATCATAATAATAAATCAAAATATAATAATTTGAATAAGCAATCATAACAAACTTTATATATCTAACAGAGAAAAAAACTAAATAAGCAATGAAATATTTTAAAACTTTAATCATGTCATTATAATAAACAACAGCAGTAAAAACTTACACATCAGCAGATATCAACCACCTCAAGAACCAATTGTTTAACTCTACAGCTAAGGACTTGTATTCATACATAACAGCAGTTGAAACCAAGAGGGAAATCAGCTTCCTATAAAAAATTCCATCCCTAACTGTTTACTTAAATCTGTTTGTAATAATACATCAAAGAACATTGTTCACCATGCGGCTACACACTTTCTGATTTGATAAACAAAAATATTATAAACAAATAAAATAAGGAACAAAATAAATAAAAAATCCTTGGTTAACAATAATAATAACAAGAACTTTTAAAGACAGTTTAAAAAAAAGTTTTACTGACGTTTCAACATGAGAGTGTTCTTTTTTTAAATTAAGCTCCATAATTACTGGCTCAATTTGGTCCAAAATATAACTCTAAAATGTAATGCAAAATCAATTTACAAAATTGAAATGTATATTAAAATTGTATATAAAAATTAAAATGTATATTAAATGAGAAAAAATTTATTTATTTATTATGGAACCTTAGATTATAACCAAAAGTCATTAAAAAAAAGGAATTATTGAACTGTAGAATATAGTTTGTAAAAAAACTAAACAATTTTAAAATATAAATAATTTTTTTTAACAGATTTAATTTACAAAGAACTAATAAAAATTCAAACAAATTGAACAAATCAAACTCAAACAAAAAACCAATTAAAATCTAAATCAAATTAATTAAAAAAAAAAACAACAACCTTAAGACATGTGCTCTCTGCTTCATCAAACAGCATATCCTGCAGTAGTTTTAAATACTGGAGTCCAATAAACCACGGTGCATAATGTGTTTCATTTTTAAGATACTCAGTAAACATGAGAGACAGTTGAAAGCTTACATAGTTGTATCTGTACAAAATCATAAATAATCAATAATAATATAATATACTATTATTAATTGTGATACATATATACATATATATTGAACAATTGAGTGAAAAAAAAATTAACTTGAAAAAAATCAACATTTTTCTGTTTTAAAAAAAAAAAATCAGAACTTTTAAAAAAAACTTTGTAATGCATTTTAATGCATTACACACAAACATTATAATTTAATTTTTTAAAAATGCTATAATTTAATTTTCTATTTGATTACTTATTTTTTTACCAAAATCAGAACTAAAAGAAATATAATAAAAAATAAGGAAAATGTTACTTGGACAGATGAAATACATCGTTGAGAATATTAGAACGATCAATAACAGAAAAAATCTGAAAAAGAAAACTTTTATAATTTTTAACTTTAATAATTTAAACAAATTTCTTTTTGTTTTAATAAAAAATTTATAAAAACTAAAACTAACTGTTTAAATTTTAGAATTTAGTAAATGAAAAATCAAAAAAAAAAAAAAAAATTAACTAAAAATCAACACTCACTGTGTGTTTTTCTTTCATCTGGGAAAGAAGTGCTAACCAATTGTTTTTGTCGTAGTTGACTTGGTAAAAACCAAATGCTCCCATATTTACTTTGTACATTGTGATATTATCGGGAGCATCAATTAATGCTAAAAATAGTTTTTTATTTATATTTTGTTATTTAGTACATATGTATTCAGTATAATTAAAATGTACACATGTAGTCAGTGTGGTCATATTGTACACATGTAGTCGGTGTAGTCATAATGTACACATGTAGTCAGTGTAATCATAATGTACACATGTAGTCAGTGTAACCATAATGTACACATGTAGTCAGTGTAGTCATAATGTGCACATATAGTCAGTGAAGTCATAATAAATATAAATATAATATTTATATTGCATGCATTTGCAATTAAAAATCTGGAATACCTTCCCTACTTGTAAGTAACAAAATACTATTTGATATAGAACCATTATTCAGAAAGAACCGAACTGAAAGTGAAATTGGCCAAGTGGGGCTAAATATTTCACAAAGTTTTTTTAAGCATATTTGACTTCTTGTATTTGATTTTACATATAAAAATAATAGGTAATACAGCACAAGAAGTATAATGCATTACATACATATAAACTACAGTAATAATTATATACATACCACTTTCTGTTTAGATTTATTAGTTAAATTTAAATATAGTATATTGTTAATATATACATGTCGAAATAAGTGTCAGACATTGGCGCTGCTCGGACTTTTGAGACCTGTTTGAGGAGAGCAACCAACCATTGTTTTTACTGAAAAATAAACTATGATTTGTTGTCCTCTTCTAGCAGGTCTCAATGATAGTTCGAGGGGCGGCTTAAATATATATATATATATATATATATATATATATATATATATATATATATATATATATATATATATGTATATATATATATACATATATATATATATATATATATATATATATATATATATTTAAGATATATATATATATATATATATATATATATTTAAGATATATATATATATATATATATATATATATATATATATATATATATATATATATATATAATATATATTTATATATATATACATATATATATATATATACATATATATATATATATATATACATATATATATATATATATATATATATATATATATATATATATATATATATATATATATATATATATATATATATATATATACATATATATATATATATATATATATATATATATATATATATATATATATATATATATATATATATATATATATATATATATATATATATGTATGTATGTATATATATGATGTGGTAGTAGTGTAGTGGTAGAGCGCTTGCTTCATAAGCAAGAGATTCCAAGTTCAATCTCCACTGCATCTCTGATAGTACTACGCTTAACTTGTTTCTCTGCGCAGTGACCTTGTTTGTTGAGGTTCCTGTTGGGAGTTATATTTCTTTTTTTGGGGTGAGTTTTATAATAAATAGTAAGTAACTAAATTTACATGTTAAACATTTATTTTATATTTAACTTAAACTCAATAAAATTTGCAATATATTTAATTAATTTAAATAAATATATAAGAGCCACAAAATTGTAGTTTAAAAAAATGTTCATACTTTTCATCTTCTACTCCATACAACAAAAACTTCTTTTGATTAAATAACAGCTGATTTTCTTTGCGGATCACAGTAACTAATGGAAAACCTGCGGTTGTTATCCATTTCTTAGAGAAATCCACCAAATCTATGCTACTTTGTGACTAAAACAATGAAAAATATTTACTATCAACAACAATGACACAAAACACAAAATGAAGAACACAAAATGAAGAACACAAAATAATTTGTTATATAAAATATATATAAAATGTTTATAGAACGTAATATATAGCCTTGAATGCAAGCACACTGGACGTGTAGAATATCATTACTTTTATTATTGTGTTATTTTCATGAAACAAATAATGTATTCATATGTTTTAAATGTTATATAATATACGAATTACTATGTACATTTATGAAATCTGATTGTCATACTATGTACATATATGAAATCTGATTGTCATACTATGTACATATATGAAACCTGATTGTCATACTATGTACATATATGAAATCTGATTGTCACACTATGTATATATATGAAATCTGATTGTCATTCTATGTACATATATGAAATCTGATTGTCATACTATGTACATATATGAAATCTGATTGTCATAATACTATAGTTGGTTTTTGTTCTCAACTACAAAATAAGGAAATTAAGCTAACTTCTCTAGAAACCATTTTAAACTTTAAATGAAAAAAACAGAATAGGTAAGAGGGTACAAAAGAACAAATAATGCGTTGCAAAAAAAAGAGAATGGTAGTAACTAGGATACACTCTTACTTCCAATCATTCTTGGAAACCTTACATTAATTCCATTGCAAAATTAACATCTGCAAAGGTTGCATCTCTTTATTGTGCTCAACTCTTTCTTACTTAGGATTCTATTCCCTATCTTTATAAATCTCAAATCTGTCCTTGTATGGAATACTGTTGCCATATCTGGGGCGGATTTTCCAATGATGCCCTTTCTCTTTTAGACAAGGTGCAAAAATGTATTGCAAACATAGTTGGACCTGCTCTTGCAGCCAACCTCCAACCATTTTCACATCATTGTAATGTTGCTTCTCTTTCTCTTTTCTATAAATACTATAACGGGCACTGCTCTAAAGAGCTAGCATCTCTTGTGCCATTAACTAAAATTTATTTTCAAGTTACTTTTCAATCAATTAAGTCTCATCCTTTTTCTATGACTGTTCCTAAGTGCTCCAAAAACTCTTATTCGTCTAGTTTTTTTTCTCGAACATCAGTTCTTTGGAATTCGCTCCCTTCATCCTGTTTTCCTGATTCATATAATTTGCAATTTTTTAAGTCATCTATCAATCTTTTTCTTGCTCTACAAACCTAAACTTTTCTTTTCCAGTAAATTCCAATTCTAATAGGTTGCTTACAGCCTTGTTGGAAGCAAAGATATAAAAAAAAAAAAAGAAAAAGATGCATCAAAGAAATTGAGAAAAAAAAGAGAATGGTAAGAGGTGCAAAGAAATAGACAGTGTGTGGCAAAAAAGAGACTGGCAAGGTAGTGCAAAAAAGGTAAAGTAGTGTGAAAAAAAAGAGTAAAGTGCTTAAAAAAAAGATAAAGCAGTGAGAGAAAAAAAGATGAAGTGGTAAAAAACTGCATTATACTTTATCTACATACTACTTTGATTAAATGACATCATAATGACATCATACTGACATCATAATGGTTTAATTTCTTATATCATATTCTTATAGTCATTTTCTTAGTAAAAAATTGTATAGAATTAGGTTAAAAAAAATGTTTTTAAATGTACAAACCTCATTTAGGGTCATAAAAAAGTCATCAGAACCTGCATTTGAATACTGGTACTTCAAAAGGAAATTCTAAAATAATTATTTATGTTATTATTTTATACTTTTTTTTGCTATTTTATACAAAATTTTATACTATTTTATACAAAATACTTAATTATATTACTATTATTGTATACTTTTTTTATTATTATTATTTTTATTATTATTATTATATATATATATTTTTTTATTCACCTCCTCAAGGCCGAGAAGGCCACAACAGACGAGGAGGCTACTTAATAGTGGTTATAACCCTCTCTCAACTCTATAACTCTGAAACACGAACCTTGATGAACAAGGCCGCTGTGCGGAGAAACAAGTTGAGCGCGGTACTACCAGGGAGGTGGTGGGGATCGAACTCGGAACCTCCCGCGTTTGAAGCGAGTGTTTTACCACTACACCACACCGCATATTTAATTAAAATATACATTCTATCTTTTGTATTTTATTATAACTTCAAATTAATTTTAAAACATTTTAAAACTATACCCTAAGTCCTTCAAAAAAGTTCTTCTCACCAATCAAATGTTTAATCATTGCTAAGACTGATGCTCCCTAAATTAAAATAAAATCACTGAGCTAAATTTTTATTTCTTTTTGAATTAAATACAGCTTGAATAGGTTTTTTTTTCAAATATTTTTCAAGTACAAATATGAAGTTAATCAGAAAAGCTAGTAATTTAAATTGTAAAAAAAAAAAAAAAAAAAAAAAAAATTTATATATATAAATTTAACCTCAAAACAAAAATCCACTGTTCTTGGTCTCTTTTTCTTTAATAGTTTTATTACAAATAGATTTTAATGTCTGCCCAAATAAATTTAACTTATGCAAGTTGTGAAAAAAAATTTTTTGTTGAGCAACTTTTCAAGTAATTCAAAATTTTAAAACTTAAATAGTTGACATATAAATAAATTTATTTGATAAGTATATATTTTTGAATTAGATTGGCAAGAACTAAATATATATTCAACTTAGTGGTACAATTGTTTTAAAATAAAATTTGTAAAATTCCTGAAAATATGTGCAGTTGTAACGCCTCTGACAATATATGCAGTTGTAGAATTTTTGACAATATGTACAGTTGTTTTCTCTATTTTTTTTCCTCGAACATCAGTTCTTTTGGAATTCGCTTCCTTCATCTTGCTTTCCTGATTCATATAATTTGCAATCTTTCAAGTTGTCTGTCAATTTTTATCTTGCTCTATAATCTTTATCTTTTCTCTTCCGGTAACTTCCAACTCTAATTAGTGGTTGCTTGCAGCCTTGTTGGAAGCAAAGATGTTTAAATAAAAAAAAGGTGTTAAGTCTTTAATTTTATGCTCAGTTGCTACTTTTATCTCCTTGCAAGTGGTATAAACATTCAATGTTATTAAAAAAATATATACATACTTATAAATAAATATAAAATATTTATTTATAAAATGCTTCAGGCAAAATTAAAATGGTTCTCTCTATGTTTACTTCCAAAAATGGAGAAAAACATCAAGAGAGGTCTTCAAAGTATTTACAGGTATAAAAGTTTTTACTTTTGTTATTAATAATTAAAAAAAAGGTTTATAAACATTATAATTCTTTATAAAGGTCTTATAACTCTTATATAAATCTTAAATGAACAAATATAAAACACTTAATAGTATGAAACTTGTAATAATGCAATTATTTTTGCTAACAACTTTTACAAAAACTTATATTGTAAATTTAAAGTATGAAATGATAAAAAATCATCTAATTTAATTATACTTTAATTATATTTTAAAGGAGAAAATTTATAAACTTTAATTGTTGGAACTAAAGACAATTTAATTGTTGGAACTAAAGACATTTTAATTGGTGGAACTAAAGACAATTTAATTGGTGGAACTAAAGACAATTTTATTGTTGGAACTAAAGACAATTTAATTGTTGGAACTAAAGACAATTTAATTGGTGGAACTAAAGACAATTTAATTGGTGGAACTAAAGACAATTTAATTGGTGGAACTAAAGATCTTAAATTTAAACTAAAGATCAATTTAATTGGTGGAACTAAAGACAATTTAATTGGTGGAACTAAAGACAATTTAATTGTTGGAACTAAAGACAATTTAATTGGTGGAACTAAAGATCTTAAATTTAAACTAAAGATCAATTTAATTGGTGGAACTAAAGACAATTTAATTGGTGGAACTAAAGACAATTTAATTGGTGGAACTAAAGACAATTTAATTGGTGGAACTAAGGATCTTAAATTTAAAGTAAAGATCAATTTAATTAGTGGAACTAAAAATCTTCAAAAAAAAATTATTTTAATCATAAGTTATTCTAAACAGTAATGAACCAACTTATATGCTGGCACTTGAACATTTTAAATAATTTTTAGTATTTTAATGAAGTGAGGATTATCTATCTATTCTGGAAAGAGGGTTATTTCTCTAGTCTGGAGAGAGGATTATGTTTCTAGTGTGGTAAGTGAATCAATTGACAAAGTTCAAAACAAAAAGTTAAAAAAGTTCTTGAAGAATTTTAATATATTTTATATATAAACAGAAAGCATAATTAAGAAGTTTTTACTTAAAAATCTAAAATTTAAATTTAAAGTAAATTAATTTGGATGATGTTACAACTATCAAATTGCATTTGAATAAAAATGTGTTAACAGCATCATTGGTTTGTCTTCTCCATCTGGTAAATATATCTTGTGGTGTATATGTAAATGTTTACTAAAAAGTGGTTCCTGAGCATATTGTAACCACAAACATTTCAGGAATGTTCTTGGTTCTTTTAATAAATTGTACAAACTATTTATTGAAAGTTTTCAAATAGGCTTATTAAAACTAATCATTTAGTTCTATTGCCAGAATTGCATCTGCTTAGGAGGATTGCAACAGTTAATGTTGCAATCCTCCTATAATTTATAACAGTTAATGGTATAACTTTTTTTTTATATCATTGGTTTCTGTTTATTAAAAAACATTAGTATCATTGTTTCCATCAGAAAGAAATTCTAATAGGGAGTATAATGTAAAAGGAGTTTAAACCAAATTTAAGAATAGTAATAGATGTGACCAAGGTAAACCAAAGTTAAGAAAGAAAGCTATTGGTGAGACTGTTGCTTTGATTTAAAGGTATAACTATTATTTTAAGTAAGAATATCTTAGGATATTGATTTTAAAAGTATACTATTTTTTTGGAAAAAATTAACATAACCTTAAAGACAGCAACTTTATCACAATAAGGGAATAAATAGGGTAAAAACTGTTATGATACTGTTAATCAACTTTAGATTTGTCCAATATAAAAAATAGCATTCTAGCTAGTATTTATCAATATATATGCATATAGATTTGGAGAAAAATTAAATTTGGATATAGAGACACAAACTAAGTGTTGCACTGCTAGAAACAAGCTTAACTTTATGTTATTATAAGTATGAAACTGCATAAATGCAAACTAAATAAGGAATGAACAACATTTTATGTTATCTTTTTGAAAGCAAAAAAATAATCCTTAATCCTTAATCCCTAATTCTTTTTTCATAGTATAACTAAAAAATAAAATAATTTAAAAACCAAACAGTAAAAAAAAGTAAATAAAACAAAATAAATAAAAAAAACTTTACTTTACTGTAGGTTATGACATCATACATTGATTCTAGTGTTGATAAATCAGTTGCGTTTGGTAAAATGGCATGAGTATATCTGCTGGCATCAGTATTGAATGATGAAACATAGTTTTCAATATAGCTAGAGCTTTGAACATCCCATGTTGGATAGTATTTTGATGTAGGAAGTGATTGTAAAAATGTTGCAAAAGATTCTTTTAACCACAAATCGTTCCATGATTTCATAGTAACCAAGTTACCAAACCACTATAATTATTATTTTAAAAGATCTATATTTATTTTTCTCAAAACATTAATAAATACAAGTTTCTCTCAATACTAAATTTATTTTTTAAAAGAAATTTTTGCTGGATTGTTGCGATCATATTTGCCGACCTAAAACTGACCTCTAACAGTTGAGGGCTGTACATATATATATATATATATATATATATATATATATATATTATATATATATATATATATATATATATATATATATATATATATATATATATATATATATATATATATATATATATATATATATATATATATATAAACTACTAAAACTTTTTTCCAATATATACACACATATATATATATATATATATATATATATATATATATATATATATATATATATATATATATATATATATATATATATATATATATATATATATGTATATATACATATATATATGTGTAAATATATATATATATATATATATATATATACATATATTTACACATATATATATGTATATATACATATATATATATATATATATATATATATATATATATATATATATATATATATATATATATATATATATATATATATATATATATATATATATAGGTTCATCAGGAAGCATATTCATATATATAGCATATATGTAAATATATATTTATAAATGTGGTCAGCCATATGGTGGTATTGCTATGTTGTGCAGACATATTCTGATTTTTGCTGTGTCTATTAAACGAATAAAAACCAAATAACAGCTATTGACCTCTTTATAATTGCTGTATGCTGTTAAAAACACATTTTTAATAGCACCAGTGGCAGATTAAGACTTCTTGGGGCCCAGAGCTATTTTTGTTTTTGGAGGCCTTTTTATGGGCCAGAGCCTAAAAATGATTTGAAAAAAAAAAATTGATCCAGCACTGAATAGCATCCATTTATATGCCGATTGATGCCTATGCAGGAAATATATAAAAACATACCAAAATTGAATTCAGCATTGCTGGCTGGTCTGATCTAGTTGCAGATAAAAATAAAATAATTTCAAATAAAGGTAACAATATCTGGAAAAATATTAAAAAGATGTCTAATGCTAAAATTACATAAAATAGAACAACTTTAGGGGATGAAACCATGACTGGTGATAAATCAATTGCTAATGTGTGGAAAGTGAAATGTGTATCTAATACATTAATATAGCATTCATAACTCATGGTTTGCTTCCTAGGGAGAAAATATAAAGCTCTTCTTTCTTTTACACTGCTGAAACAGCCCTAAACCATTACACGTTAAGACTGTTGAATTATTATTTATGTGTATAGGGGATTAAATCATCATAACTACAAGGTGCAGTGTCCTACATGTTTGGTGCTTACATCTAAAAACAGCTTGCAAATTTTGCTTGACATGCAATGAGTTATGGTTTTTCAAACTTTAATATGGCTACATATGCTTAAGTCTATCTGTTGTTCATTTAGTAGGTCAATATTGTTTTTTCTTAATTGCACAACAGTTATCTGTAGATTTTTAGTCACCTCGCTCTTTAACAATAAATATGTTTTTATATCGGTCTTTTTAAGACTATCAGATTTTATGGCTTAGGCTCTTGATCTTTGAGAATCTCTCAAATATCAAGATAACTTTTCAACATTTTTTCAACATTGACTTTTTCAACATTGGAAACTTATTGTTCTTCTTGAACACTCAGTACGCAAAAAATAATTATATCACTATAATTGGTTAAAATTTGGACAATTTTAAATTCCATATACTTAAAAACTACATAATCAATTCTGAAAATTTTTTTTTTGATGATGTGAACTTATTTTTTTTTTGATGATGTGAACTTATTTAGGTTTTTTTTTTTAAAAAAAAATTAGGTCTTAACTTTATGACATGCAAGTAATTTTTTTTCAAATCAATGGTCAATGACCATTTAAAGCAGATCAATGCCAAATCTAGCCATAATAAAAATGATTGTTTATGTTTTTTAATTCGAAAGAAGTTGTTTTGTGCTTTTAGATTTTCTTATTGCAATAATCTTTGATTAAAAGACTACTTTGTAGCTTGTTAAAACTTTGTAGAAGCAATATCTTGTTAAAACTTTGTAGAAGCTAAATCTTGTTAAAACTTTGTAGAAGCTTATTATTTTATTAAATCTTGTTCTGAAACTTTGATGTATCAAATCAACTATTTTTCCCTCGTTTTGTTATTAAATCTTGATTTTTATTTTCTGTGTACAAATTTATTCTGATTATTACACCTTTCGACAATAAAATGATATATGGAGTTGATTTTGGAATATTGTATTCTATAATTGTCAATATTTCAATATTGCAATATTGACAGCCCCAACAGATAATGTTGAATATAAGCAAAATAAGTTTTCTATATAAAATTTATCAAAATATTTTTTAAATTTTCAGATTTTTTACTCAACATTGTAAATTTTTTTGTAAAATATCAACTGAATATATTATTAAGCCAGAATAATTTATCTTTCATTTAATGAGAGATACTTCCCAGGCATATTGGATAATTATTGAAATCACAGGAGTTGAATAATAAAAATGCTTAAAAAATGCAAGGTCAGCAGGAAATAGAACTTTATAGCAGATTTATTGCTTAAAAAAAAAATTTATTTAATTGATTTTATGCATATTATTTGTAAGACATCACCTTAAATCATTTTTAAGACCTCACCTTAAATGATTTGCAAAACCTCACCTTAAATCATTTGTAAGACCTCACATTAAAACATTTGCGAGACTTAACATTAAATATTTGTAAGATCTAACCTTTAAACATTTAAGACCTCACCTTAAAACATTTAAAAGACCTAACCTTAAAACATTTGTAAGGCCTTACCATCTTAAAACATTTTTTTAAACACAAAATCTTAATAGTAAAAAAAATTTAAAAATCTTGAAAAATTTGGGCAACAAAACTTTTGAGCTTTATAAAAACTTAACTATCAATCAAGGCTCAAAATTCTTAATTTAACTACATTTAATGATCGAAGAAATAATGAAATTTTAAATTATTATTATAACTTTATTTGGCAGTTCATCTTTTCATCTTCATTAATATAAAAGTAAATTGGCAAGTCCCAATAAATCAAATGTATAGGCATTAGCTCAAAGTTTCTGCAGGTGAATTACCATCACTCCATCATTAAATAAACCAAGATTAACGTTAGCTAACAGAATTCTGTTTTACTAATAGAATGATTCCATTTTAGAGTCAACTAACTAAAGAAGTCAGACATTAAATTTTAATTTTATTTTTAATTTTTATTGTTTTTATAAACATAAACATTAAATAAAAAAAACATTTATAAAAAAAAAATTGACTCTAAGTCGTACTCTGAGTAGAAAATTTTTTTTGTATCACAGAATATTATTCTGGAGCAATTATATCTAAAATAATAAGTGTAATGAAAAAGTCAACTTTCTATAATTTAAAAATACCTCTAATTTATAAGATTCTCTAACTTTTTAAACATTTGAAAGTATTTATGAGTTGTTATAACTATTTTATAATTATTATTATTTTCTTAATCACCTAATGTAAAATATTTTTACAAGATAAAAGTACACACAAAAACAAATGTTTAAACTTTAAAAGGAAGAAAAGAAATCATTTTAGAATGTTTTCTTCTAGAGTTTGCTTGAAAATGTTTCTCTGTTCTTTTATGTTCCACTAATCTAATGAGCATTTTAATAATTTTCTCAATATTTTTTGGGATTTTACAAAACGTATTCTATTTTTTTCACTCTTTAATTTTTAAAAACTTAGTCTTAATATGATTTAGTATAAATTTTTAGTACCTTATATTGCTTTATCAATCTATTTACCTTAAAATTCACATTGCTTTCCGCTACCTCGTATATAATTTATTATAATTTATTTAGCATAAATTATACTTGATTATACTTATTAGCAACAAGCATACATGCAATTTAATGCATTTCAAAAAGCCAACTAAAAAAAAAATAGAAAAAAATAGAAAAGTAACCTGATGAGCAACTTCGTGATTAATGGTCTTAGTAGTAAATTCAATATTGAAAACAGATTCATCTTTATATAGCAAACTGTTCTCTTGAAAAACTATCATACCCCAGTTTTCATCAGCGGTTGCAGTTAATTCTGTTACAGGAACTAAATCTGGAAAAGTATCAACAAAATCATTATCATTGTTATCATCATAATCATCATCATCATCATCATCATCATCATCATCATCATCATCATCATCATCATCATCATCATCATCATCATCATCATCATCAGTACCTAGTTTTGGCAAGCTGTAGTTAATTTGGAACTTCTCAGAGTAAAATTTTAAAGCCAGTGGAGCAATGGACAAAGCAAGTTCAGTTTCATCCAGTCTCTCAATAGGAGCAAAAGCACGAATCTGAAAAAAAAAAAGAAATAATTGTTCATTTAAGTTTTCATATCTTATTTTGGATTTTCTTTAAAATAGTTTCTTTAAAATAAAGATATTTAACTTTTATGCTAATAAATTTAAGCAGATTCAAATACTCAAAATAATATTTAATAAAGAATCATGTGTTTTATCCTGGAAAACATTTAAAACTAAGAGAAGAACTTAATACTTTCAAATGAATTTTATTTATTTATTTTAAATTTAAATAAAATACATAATCATAACAGTATTAGCATAAAAATATTGACTGAAGTAGATTAAAAATGCAAAAAATAAAAATGGTTATTAAATTGTGCTAAAGACTAAGTCCAATTAAAAAGACTTTTAAAAAATCATAAAAAAAGTCAAATTATAAGATATTCATATTTGAGTTGTTTTAATGTCCTAATTTACAACTCTGTTTTTATATATCTTTTATAGGCTATATACATACAAAATGGTATGCACACTGCATATGTACGATATAGCAAATCGGCAAAGACTCCAATAGTCACCATGCTTGGCTTAGGGGAATACATACCCATCAATTCATTTATTTGTTGTGAAATTAGGTTTAAATTCTTCGACTATTTCTTTATGTTTTTCCATTTAGCACCTCTTTACTCGATCACCTTACTCTTTGTTCTTTATCCTTCTTCTTCTTTCCAAGACTGCATTATTTTAAATATACTTTCTGAACAAATTGACCATGCTCTCTCTTTACCCCTCTGTCAATATTATTATTATTGGTGCCTTTTACCATCTCTCTCTCATGGTACCTCTTACCATCTCACTCTTTACCCCTCTGCCAATATTGTTGTTATTGGTGACTTTAATGCTCATCACACTGAATGGCTAGGCTCTAATGTCTCTGACCCTGCTGTAATTAAAGCCTATAACTTCATCATTTCTCAATCTCTTACTCAGATAGTTAATTTTGTGACAGGTTTTTCTGAAAACCCTAATAAGCTAGGTCTCTGATCCTAGTTTGTGTTCAGTTTCTCTTTTTTCTCGTTTAGTTAGTTCTGACAATGCAATGATCTCTTTAAATCTTCATCTTGTACTTCATTTTTGGACTCTATAATCGCACTACTTACAACTACCCTAAAGCTGAATGGGATTCTTTTTAAGATTTTCTTTGTGATGGTCATTGGACTAATATCCTCCTGGATTCAGGCAGAAATTGAAGCTTTTATTCCTTTTTGTCGGTTTAAGGTCAAGCCTCATTTTATTCCATGGTTTTCACCCTCTTGTGCAACTGCTATATCTAAACGTAATTATTTTTTTCATCTTTTTCTAAAAGAACAACTGTCTTAAGAACAAAGCCCTTTTTTATATTGACACAAATCAATGTAAAAAGGTGTTGTCAGATGCTAAGCTCCATTTTTCTCAGTTCACTAAATCTCACATCTTATCTAAGAAGTTAGGCTCTAGAAACTTTTGGAAAATCTTCAACAGAATTGTTAACAAAGGAAGGTTTAACATTCCATCTCTTATTCAACTTATTTCCTCTCCAAGGATAAAGCTGAACTATTTGCAAAGAAATTTTCTTCTAATTCGACTCTTGAATCTTATGGCCATTTGCTTCATTCCATTCCAAATAAACAGGTTAACCCATCATTAGACATTAAAATCACTTCAGCTTCCATTGCTAAAGTCATATCTCAATTAAACTCTTCAATAGCTTGTGTTCCAGACAACATTCATGCCACATTCTTACAAAGTTGTTTACCAGAACTTTCTTCAATTTTCTCTTAACTATTTAATAAGTGCTTGACTGAGTCTTGTTTTCCTGCCATCTGGAAAATGGCATCTGTTGTTACAATTTTCAAAAACTCCGGTGAACATTCTGTTAGCAAGGTCCAAGACATTATCCAAGACACAAAAGATTTAGATAAACAATCTTCTCGCATCCCATCTTAAATCAAATAACTTGCTGTCAGATATTTGATAGAGTTTTCAATCCTCTTGCTCTACGGTAAACATGCTTACTGCTGTGACTAAAAGATTTTATTGTGCATAAGATGGAGGTAGAGAGGATAAGACTATTGCTCCTGACATATCTAAGGCTTTCGACAAAGTTTGACATGTTGGTCTTCTCCATAAGCTTGTTTCATATGGTGTATCTAAAAAAGTTTTGGAGATCAAAATTGTTTGTCAAATTGTTTCTTTAACAAGTGGCTAACAGTGGCTTTTTTTTTTAATTTTGAAACTTCTTTTTAAACTACTTTTTTTGGAGATTTTTGAAAAATTGGTTTTTTTGCTTTTACAGAAAGTAAAACAATTTTTTTTGTTTTAAAGTCTTATAAATAAAAAGAGTTATATCCTAATAGACGGTACTGGAACTAAAGACAAAAATTAAAACAACTTTGTTTTATTCAACTTTTAACATTTTAAACAAATATCATTTAAATTTCAACTCTAACTACAAAAACTGTTATTTACTGCAAATAATTATGGCAGTACTATCAACATTCCTATATTAATGAATGGCAACCCTCTCACTGAGTTCTCTTCTTTATGTCTTCATGGTTTATCATTCACTACTGACCTTTCATAGAAACCATATTTAAAACCGTTTGCTAAATTAGCATCTACTAAGGTTGCTTCTCTTTATCGTGCTTGCTGTTTTCTCTCTCCTGATTCCATTCTCTACCTCTATAAATTTCTTATTCTCATTTCATATTCTTATTCATGTATGAAATACTATTTTTATACTTTGGCTGGTTCTTCTAAGGATGCTTTTTTCTCTTCTAGACAAGGTCCGAAAACTCATTGTAAACGTAGTTGGACCACTCTATCTGCTAAGCCTGAGCCTCTTTCTCATTGTTGTAAAGATGCATCTCTTTCTCTTTTCTACAAATATTATCATGATCACAGCTCAGAGGATCTATTATCTCTAGTTCCATTAACTAAAACTTATTTTTGTTTTAATCGTCATTCATCAAAGTCTCATTCTTTTAATGTATCTGTTCCTGCATGCTCAAAAATCTTTTATTTGCCTAGTTTTTTTCCTGCACTTCAACCCTTTGGAACTCTCTCCCATCTTCATATTTTCCTGACTCATACAACTTTCAACATTTTAAGTCTTCTGTCAACTGTTTCCTTGCTCTATAACTCTATTCATTTTTTCTAATAGCTGCTAACTTAATATAATATATATATGTATATATATTCATATATATGTATATATATATACATATATATGTATATATAAATATATTAATACATATATATATATATATATATATACATATATATATATATATATATATTAATATATATTAATATATACATTAATATATATATATATATATATATATATATATATATATATATATATATATATATATATATATATATATATGCATGGCAGTAAAATTAATTTTTTACTACTTGCCTGAAGATTGTGGTAACACATGAAACTCTGAGTAGCAAATAATATTATAAATATTAGCATTTAGCTAATTCCTGATACTGCGGGTAACAGTAATATATACTATATATATATATATATATATATATATATATATATATATATATATATATATATATATATATATATATATATATATATATATATATATATATATATATATATATATATATGTATATATATATATATATATATATATATATATGTATATATATATATGTATATATATATAAATATATATATATATATATATATATATATAAATATATAAATATATATATATATATATATATATATATAAATATATATATAAATATATATATATATATATATATATATATATATATATATTTATATATATATACACATTTACATTCATATTTTAACTTGCATAATATAAACTAACTATTACATAGCATTGGAAACTTTTATAAATAAAATACATAAAAACCAAATTTTACCTTAGTATTGCTGCTGGTAACTAACTCACGAAACTGATATTCTGTAATTGCAAACACAACGAGGTAGGAGCTCATTGGTACAGATGTTTCAAAAAAAGTTTCAACATTTTTATCAACGCTAACCTGTAAAAAACAAAATAATTAAAATCAAAACAGATTTACTTTTTTTTCAATTTTGAAACTTCTTTTTAAACTTCTTTTTTTGGAGATTTTTGAAAAATTGGTTATTTTGCTTTTACAGAAAGTAAAACAATTTTTTTTGTTTTAAAGTCTTATAAATAAAAAGAGTTATATCCTAATAGACGGTACTGGAACTAAAGACAAAAATTAAAACAACTTTGTTTTATTCAACTTTTAACATTTTAAACAAATATCATTTTAATTTCATTTTAAATAAATATCTATACAATCCACTTCTGAGGTATCAACATTTCAAATGGTATAATCATTACAAAATGTGACAATTTTTAGGTTTTGAATGTGATTTGTTTATAAAACTAAAAATTTAAAAACAAACACGTATTAAGGCAAAATAACTTTAAAAAATGATTTTAAAAATTCTTATGTTCTGCATTATGAAAAGAGTTATATGTTAACCAAACTCTCCTTACATAAAATGTAAATTTTTTGATTTTTGAGACAAAATCATACAATTTAATACATTTTTTAAAAAACAAATTTACTTTTAGAAAAACTGCAACAAATATTATGTAAGTTTGTAGTTAAAGAAGAAAGTTAATTGACAAGAATGTTTAAGAGAAGACTTTAAAAAATGTAAACTGCATAAAGAAAACATGACAACAGGATTTCTAAAGTATTTTGTTTGAGGCAAAAAATTAGGTTTAAATAAGTTATTTTAAGCGTGGTAAAACAGTTACAGTTAAAAGATGTAATTTTGTTTAATGATTATGCAATTTTTGCATAATAAAAATGCAATTTTGCTCAATGATGATGCAATTTTTCTTAATGATGAATCACAAGATTGAGTAGAAAAACTATTTTTTGTTAGAGCAAATTGGGTTTTTAGGATTGAAGCAGTGACCATGGTGACCAGAAATAAGGAGCACCATTGAGCTGTTTTAAAGAGAAATTACATTCAAGATCAGCTGCTTTTTCTAAGCAACTAAATCTTATAATTTTGTATGATTGTCTCATCAAGCATAAAGAGCCATTTTAGAGGTAAGATTATTAGAAAGATAAGAAATAACACAGGAGTGAAAATGATCCATCTTTCATCATCCAAAGCAGAAAACAATGTAACACAGATTTAAATACGTCTATTAAGTAAATAGAAGTGAAATGCTAGTCTACAAAAATTTTGTAGGCCATTATTACACTACTAGCCAAAACTCATAGACTTGCATTCCTAGTTCAAACTCTTGTTCAACTTGAGTGTAATCAATAATCACAAATGAGATGATATAGTTAGTAAGGCAACTTTACCTAAAAACATTTAAATATTATCAGGTAAAGCTGCAAAACTTTTGTACTGAGTGAATGGAACCAACTTTTTTTCTAAAATATTCTATTGAGGATGTAATGCCAAATAATAGGTATTAAGCCCAAAAAAGATATTTTTATACAATTATAAACTCTGAAAATGATGAAGAGGATAACAAGTATAACAAACTTTATAAATTTTTAGAAATGGTTAGTGATAGCTGTCACAAAATAGAGCAAGACTTGATATCTATCAATGAGTAAATAATATCTGCTAAAAACAAAACATAATGGTATTTGCCAAGTTAGTCTAAAAAAACTGTTAGAAATTGTGTTTCAAAATGTTTTTTAAATTAAGATCTAGTAGAATAATTAAATGTTTGTTTGTTTTTTTTTTTGTTTTTTTTGTGTAGCACCTAAAGCAACAGAGAATAGTGTTCAGCAATGTTGTTTTTAGATTGGCTGAACAATTACCCAAATGTTTAAACTTGAAAAATTGAATTTGTGTTTTGAAAATTGGTTCTGCACTTTTTGCTCTTTTCCTGAAGCTAAAAGAATTTATAATTAAGTTGTTAGAAGGTATATTTTCATCAGGAAGTTTTGTTTTAACCAATAGCAAATCACTCACTTCTTTACAAAAAAAAGTTTTAAAAAATGATAATTTTTATGTAAAGTAGAAGCAAACTTAGTAATAAATGCATTCATATAACCTTAACATAATGTTCAGCTAATAAATGCATTCATAAAACCTCGACATAAAAATCAGCTTATAAATCCAAACAAAATATCAAACAATGGAATCAAAAGAATAAGAAATACAATCAAGTACCTTGATCAGAGAATGTAAAAGAATACAGTTTTAGAATTGGCTGACAGGCTTATCAAATACCTATGGATATATCAAGATAAAAGCTTATAAAAATATTGGTTCTTGGTTCTTTTATAGAATACATGCACACTAGTTAAATGTCAATCAATATTCAATATCCTTTAACTGAAACATATGGTCGCAAAAGTCAGGTACATTTTAAGATGATATTCCATAAAATGAATTTGGACACTAGCCAAATCCTTAAAGTAAAAACAAATTTGAGGAAGAAAACTGATCCAATGTCTATCTTAGAATACAAAGTTTGTTAATGTTTTAGCTACAAAAGAAGTTTTTATCAGTTTTATAGAAAATTTCTTTTGGCCCAAAACTAAAACAAGTTAAAACCTTGATATAGTTGAAACTATTTACTATTTAGTTGATACTATTGTTGACATTTTATTTACATAGATACTATTGTTGACATTTTATTTACATAGATGATATTGTTGACATTTTATTTACATGGATCATTTATTTTAGTTCAACTAATATATTTTTTAAATTTCATACACTAACCGGTAAAGTTACCATATGGTAACAAAAAGTGCTGATGCTAGCAAATAAAACTTTATTACTAATTACTCTATGCACTTAATATTTAAAAAAAATTCCATTGAAAAAAAAACTTTTCTGCTATTTATTTAAAAAATAAACAGGGTTTAGTTATATTTATTATTTATTTTATATTTATTTATAATCTACTTTTCATAAAGATAAGACAAAAAAATAAAAAAACACTAATTCAATAAATTGATAAATAAAAACTTTTTAATAAAACCTTTTTTTCAGCAGGCATATTAGATAGAGCAAAATAATCTTTGACATGCTGAATAATGACCTTGAACCGAGCTTTATATATAGGTTCATCAAAGCAGGGAAATGATTTTCGTGCAGTTCTTGGTTCAAACATTGTAGAAATCATTTGACTAAAATTAATTATTTATAAATAGTAATAGAAAAAAAAAAAGAATTTAAAATTTAAAAAAAAAAAAAATTAATATACTAACTGAGGTTTTTGACTCCCATCAAAATATCTAGTCAAATATATCCCACTATCAGAATTTTCAGTGAGATCATTCTCAAAACCAACCAAAAGATTATAATATGTACCATTAACAAGTGCTTTATCAAGCTGCAATACAACATACTGCTTGTCTCTATTCCTATATTTATTTTTTATTCTCACTTCGATGTTGCTAACATCCATCAACTTAATTTTAGAAATTGTATGCTGGGATGAGTGAAAAACAACAGTAGATGTTGGCGCAACACATTTAAAATAGATTTTAACCATTCCTTGATATCTCTTTTTTACAATATCAGGATACACATACAACAAGTAAGATTCAGGAAAAATATTGCCTGGCAAAAACTCTTTGTCATACAGATCAACAGGTGATACTTGATCAAATAGACTTAACATTTCAGGTGTTTGAGAATAATACCCAGAATCATTGATCGGAACTCCATTTTCCATATAAAGAGCATGGTAACTACCAAAACCTGCTATTCCAGAAATAAAAAATATACCAACTATAAGACTTCCCCATCCCTCGATTTTATTTCTGAGAAGAGTTACATTTTTTTCTTTTTCTAAATTTTTACATCCATTATTCTTTTCAGTCTCTCTGTCAATCCACAGTTTCTGAAAAGCTAATTCATCAAGAAAAATACTCCCCATTCCTTGAAAAGTCATTACACCATTTATGATTTTGTCATACTAACATGAACTTCATGAACTTTATAAGTTTAAAAACTTTAACAGAAAATTGTTAAAATTAAAAAATAATACAACATATTCAACATTAGAAAATTTACCCAAATACAAATTTATACAATATGACAAAAATTAGAACATTGAACATGGTGAAATTTAACATTGCCAACATAATCCACCATCATGATCCTAAATAACTTCAAAAAAATATAGACAAAATAATTTTTAAAAAGTCCTTCTATACCTTAGTATATATATATATATATATATATATATATATATATATATATATATATATATATATATATATATATATATATATATATATATATATACATATATATATATATATATATATATATATATATATATATATATATATATATATATATATATATATATATATATATATATATATATTAAATATATACTAAAAAGGATAATTTTAAATTTAATGTCCGTATTAGCTTATTTGTAAAAAATCCATTGCTTTCATTTGTCTTTGGTTATACAAATATATCTCTTAAATTTGTTTTAAATGAATACTATTTAAATTATTTGTTACTGTTACCATAGAAACCAACATAGATAATTAAATGTCAAAGTCGAAATGTATTCTGTTTTAAAAATATTAAACATAAAAGACATAATAAAAGGCTCATAATTTACAAAGTATTTATTAAGATTACCTCTTCCATTTATCTTTTAATAGCTCTTTTGAATGGTTATGTATTGTATCTATGGAGTTAGTATAACTAAGATACAAGTAAAAATATAAATTTCTAAAACAAGTAAAATATAAAAAACACAAATAAATATAGAATGCATAAATTTTTAAAGTAAAGTAAAAAGATAATTTTCTAAAGTAAGAAAACAGATTGATCCAAACTTTAATTTTTAAATTATGATTTATTATGAAAACAATGTTTTTTTAGGATTCTTCATCATTACATTAACCCTCTAATGTTCCTTTTATCTATAAGTTTTAAAACTCTTTATCTATAAATTTTTTTTTTAAATAATGTTAAATAAAATGTTTTAGAGAAATCATTATTTTTGTTAACAAGAAAAAAATTAAAATAGATTTAAAAATTCTAAAATTTTAAAATCCAAGATGTAAATAAAAATAATTATGAAATGGGATTAGGTATTGACTTCTCGTTAGCAGTTCAAAAATTTATCCTCACTATCTAAATCATGTTTGTGATGGTTGTGTAGCTTAGTGAACATTGCGACAAGATGAACTTTATTATATATTATATAATGATATATAGATACGTGTCAATATATATTAAATAATTATATAATGCCACCTGATTGACGATAAACTCAAGTCTATGGTTGATAATAGCTTTACATTTATGCATTGGATTGAACATAGATTGAACAGGGAGCTAGCTGAGCATAGAGGGCAAGGTCAGCAACTAAACTAATCTAATTAAGTCTAAAAAACTGCGCATCGCATGACAAAACGTCTAATGGATGAAAGGTAGGTATTTTGGTTATATAAAAGTAACAGGCCCGTAACAACCAGGGGGGAGGGGCATTTCCCCTTCCTTTCCTAATAACAAACTTTAAAAAGTGATTCATTTAAAAAAAAAATCTTTAAAAATAAATATCTGGGTAATGCCACTTTATATAATTTTTGTTCCTACGAACCTGAGTAATAATTAGTTATTGGACAGCAGAGAAATATTTCTTTTGTTATTTTTCTCTAATGAGAGGCAACTTTACGGAGGGTGTGTGTGTGTCATACAACCCCCCTCTTCTCCCCCTCCCCACCAAGAAAGTTTCAGACGGTTTTTTGAAGTATAGTCGGGTATTTGACAAATTTCAGTCGGGTGAATTTTAGGTTTGCAGACCTTTTTTTTTTTATTATAAAGAAGCGGTCGGTACTATAATATATTATAGATATATATTACTGTATATATTACTAGATGTCAAACTTTGATCCGAAAAGTGAAGCGGTTTTTGCTTATATTACAAATGGAGGATTTAATTTGTAAACAAATACTGTTTAACATTTCTTGTCTTAAAAATGAAGAAGATGTAAAATATAAATGCTATTTATGTAAAAGCGTTAAGATGAAATTAAAATACTTGTGAAATAATTGCTTCCCAAATACATTTCCGATTAGAAAGGAATTAAAGTTTTGAATAGAAAAGTTAAGCGACAGACGCCTTTGAAGCATTTCTAAGAGATATAATACTTTTTAATAAACCTAGGATCATAAAAAAACTTTTATAAGTTTTATAATTATTTTAATTATATTATTTTGTAAGTTTTTTAACTATTTTAAACCTAAATGTTTTATAATTATTAAAACGTGTTTTTAAATTATCTTTAATTTACTGCGAACTTTTGATGCTTGTAACTTGCATTTTTTCACTTTTATTCCACACATCGTCTTCAGCTTTGTCATTTTTACAAATAGCGGACTCTATTTATTAACAAAAAAAGCGGCTTCATTTTTTGTATAATAAATTCCCCCAAGTTATATATTTAGTTTATTTAGAACCTGAATTTGAGGGGGAATCTAAATGAGTGATCATGTATCACGGGGCAACGTTAGTAGCCGCGTGTTATATACTCGCTCAACCACGTGTTATCTATTCGCTCAATCTTCAGTAGTTTATTAAAGTTATTTATATTTTTACTATTAGAAAAACCGTGTTGTGCTTTCAGAAGACCCGACACATACAGAACTAATAAGCACACCCGATATGTTTACTGGCAACACTTTTTTTTTTTAAGTTGTTGTTGGTTAGTCTGCTGTGCAAACAAAACGGATTCATGTAAGTGTATAGTCCAGTTGTATTATTTAAATGTTTATACCAAAGGGACAATCTGCGGCTCGCAAGACTTGTATGGTTCTTTTGATTTCAATATGCGGCTCATCATCTCCATGCACAAATACTTATATAATATTGAAATAAATACGGTGGTAGCTATTTAAAAATCGGAAAACTTTAAAAATTATTGCTTTTGGCTGTTCCGTCTCAAAAGGCTGCTAAGCCCTGGTTTATACAATTTGTTAAATGCATTTTTTGTTATACCAGACTATATTAGAAATAATTAGCTTTTACTGTGAAATTTGATTAGATCAAATGTTAAAGGTAAGGAGAATTGCCACATTGAAATTTGATTAGTGAAATTTGATTGTGAAATTTGATTAGATCAAATGTTAAAAGTAAGGAGGATTGCCACATTGAAGTGTTTTATTAATTTGAAATATGCTTATAATGTAAACGTGTAAGGTTTATACATATTTGTGAGCTCTTTAATCTTTTTTTTGTTTGGAGTAAGTCTTAGTAAATTTGAATAATTTTTTTCCCTCTAAACATTGTAATTTTAATCACTTTTTAGTTTTAGCTCCAAATTAGTTTATTTATATCTATCTATCTAGAACGTTTCTGAGATATTTTTACTTTTCCTTCACTATTGACATTATTTGAAATTTAACAAAATGAATATAAGGGCTAGAGTTGACTTTGGAATTTGTATAATATTGATTTTATTGGTCATTCAAGTTACCAGGCAAATGGAGTAAAAGCAAAATCTACTAAAAAGTGCATTGTCTTTTTTTAAAATTTAATAATATTTAATATCTTTTTTTAAAATTTTATCTTTTTTTAAAATTTAATAATATTATATTTTGAAACAATATTATATCATTTTAGCAATAATAAATTCATGCAAAACATAAATTTATCATTGCTAAAATAATATAATATTATTTCAAAATATAATATTATTCTTGTTTTAAAAATTGATATAAATAACATTTAAAATAATATTGTTATTATTAAATTTTCATTAACCCTAACCCTAGCCCTAAATAATTAATGGTAAGTGTCAATGTAAAATGTAAATCCAAATAAGTTTAATGGTAAATGTCAATCTAAATTTGAATCTAAAAATGGAAATATTTTATTTATAAAGAGGTCTAAACACTATCAAAATTTTTTTCTTTGCCTCTAGCTATGAGAACTTTTCTTGATTCTAATGCAAATGTCCGAAATAATCTTTTTTAGTTAGCAAGTCATTTGTTAAATTATTTTGTAATTGAATTTTAGGGTCCTACTTTCTACGTGTATAATGTACACAGTTTATCGTATTCACATAAGGATGTTAGCTTTTTAAAATGTTTCTTAGATGAAATCTCTTCTTTCCAATTTGAAATTTTTTTGCAAGTAATTAAAAAGCAAACCACTATTCATTTGCAAATCCATTATCACTAGTGTTAAAAATGAAAATCTCAAAATAAAAAATGTAAAATCATACAGCATTACTATTCTATTGAATTTAGAATTTAGTGAAGTTCAAAATTATTTTTTGAACTTTTATGCATGAACGTTCAAAAAAATTTTAAATATTTAAAAAAATAAACAAATCTAATGAGGTTTATTTTATTATTTTAGCTTAATTAATTAATTATTAATTATAATTAATAGTTATTTATAATTTATGCTTTTAATCAAAATTAAATTTTAAAGAGTTTACTTTAGTTTGTGATATCTATCATATCAAAGAACCTTTTATTATTTGTTTATTCTTGCAATACTCAAGATATTTAACTGTTTAAAAGTATTCAACTGTTTGAAAGAGATACTAATTTCGTTGTGATAACTGGTTTAAAAAAACACTAATTTTGTTGTGATAACTGCTGTATCTAATAAAAATATACTTGAGCCTTTTAATTTATATTTAAACTAAAAATAATAACATAACTAATAAATATAAATATAATAAATTACTATTTTCTTAATATTAATTATGTAAATTTTTATTATTTTCTGTATTTTATAATTTATAATTTTTTGAAAATGAAATGATAAAAGTTAATAATAATAAATAACTGAAAATAAAATAAATAATAAATGCTTTATAAGCAAGGTTATAATCCAGGGTTCGAAGTGAGCACTGGGCGTATTTCGTGCCATCAGTGCTCTGTGACAAGACTGTCGGGTATTCTTGGGGCATTTAAAACAAAAAATAAAAATAAAAAATAAAAAAAAGAACAACAACAACAAAAAACTACCTTGTGAACTTTTTTTGTCTTCTGATGATGCCCCCATGAACGTGATGCCCAGGGGTAACCCACTCGGATCCCCATCCCTCTGTGCGCCCCTATGTATGTATGTATGTATATATATATATATATATATATAAAATTGAAAACATCCAATAAAGTATTGTAAAATGTTAACTTTGTTATTATATTTCGACTTATGATTTTGTTATGATTTAATCTGATTACTGATTCCTAAGACCATTTTTACGGTAGATGACTCTCTATTTAGAGACAATGTGTTTTTTCTTTCCTTCAGAAATCAGTGTTTACGTTCTATGATATGCTTTCTGATTAGCTCTTTAGACCATGCGAGAAAACTACAAACTACATGTAACGTTTTCGTGAACAATAATATATTGGTGATATATTCAAATATATATTTTTTTTATAGGCTTTAAAAGTTGAATCTGATTCAGAAAGCAGTAGTGATCCAACACATCTCTCTTACAAATCACAACTATTGTGTAAGGATAGTTGGATTGTTAGTTTAGTACATTCTGTGCGACAGAGTCAGAGTCGGTCCTTCTAATAATTATTTAAATGAAGATCAAGAGGTGTATGCGGTAACCGACAATGAAACTAACCAGACCAGGCTAACTGGAGCTACTAAGGACTATCAAGCAATCCTCATCAAAAACGATGACATTTCTGCAGGTATAACATTCTTCTATAATTCAAAAAAAGTTCTATTATTTAAAAGATGTTTTATATTTTATTTTTAATTATAAACATTTCAAGAAGAAGATAATAAAGAACGTGGCAAAAGCAATATGGATTCTACTCCAGCCATTTTAAGCAATCACATATCTAATGACCCAGCTATTTTGACTGCTTTATCAAATAAAGATAGAGATACCATCGTTTTGATAGGTCGTCCTTTAAGTCATGAAGACCTTCCAAGGGATTCAAGGAACCACATCTTTCCAACATCAGTACTTACCAAAGTGTTACAAAATAAAGAGAAACTGAAAAGAGACTGGCTTGTATGGAGTGAATCGAAACCCGCCCTTTTCTGCTTCTCTTGTTCTCTTTTTGGATCGCCTTCTGACCCACATAAGAACAACATGGCGTCGTTGTTATTCTGGAGAGGTGGTATCAAAAACAATCGGAGGAAACTAGTTGGAAAAATCAAGTCTCTTCAATCGTGTAGCCTCTAATAGTTTGGAAAATAGTTTAGTTGGAAATTTTTTATACGATACCAACAAACAAAAAAAAAAACAGTTTAAAACAAGTCAGCTAATAATGAACTCATTTATTTTCTTTACCATTAAAAACAAATAAAACCACTAATTTGTAAATATTAAATAACCTAATATATTAAAAAAAACTAAAGATGTTTTGGTTGAAATCAATCTGATGGTGCAGGGAAACCAAAAAATATTAAAAATACAAAAGTTTTACTTTTCTAATTATAAAATATTGTGATTAAATATTGCAACAATAACTTCTTTTTTATAAAAACATAATTAACTTACAAATAGTTTCAAAACAATACAATGACTAAGATAAATAAAAACTTTTATACAAATATAAAATTTAAACACTTTTTGAATCCAAAATCGAAAAAATTAGTTCATTGTAGTACCGTCATCATCAGGTGTTTTAAACCTTCAAAAACAATTGCAAACTATTATTGTATTATATATCATATTATAGAATATATATTTAATTTTACATATACTATATCTTGCTATATTGCATAAACTATTATATACTTTGAAGACAAATATTTATAGATAAAACATTTATCTATAAATATTTGTTTTAAAAGTATATAATAAAAGTAAATAATATAGATAAAACCTTTATCTATAAATATTTGTCTATAAAGTATATATAATAACCATAAAACCTATATATATATATATATATATAATATATATATATATATATATATATATATATATACATATATATATATATATATATATATATATATATATATATATATATATATATATATATATATATATATATATATAGATATATATATATAGATATATATATATATATATATATATATATATATATATATATATATATATATATATGTATGCTAAATGCTAAATCTTATAATTTTGCCAGGGCCTGGCGAAATTATAAGATTCAGCATTTAGCATACATAGCAGGGGTTGATAGCCGGGGCTAGAAAAAAATTTATAATACTTAATATATTATAATTTTATGCTTACATTTACTATTTATTAAATACTGGCATACATTTATATAGTTATATATATTTTTAAAATCTAATTTACTTCCAACAAGATTGCAACCAAACACTATTAAGTTATGAGTTACTTTAAAATAGAAAATCAGTTAAAATAGTAGGAAACGTATAACTAAAGACATAAAAAGTTGTAAGTTGTATAAAAAAGGAAAGCATGCAGTTTTGTAAGAGTTATAAGATTTTTTTGATATTTAAGGAAAAAAAATGAATTATTTATCAAGCTGTAAAAAGATTTTATAGCATGAAGGGATAAATACAGTTAAAGCATGCAACTTGTTGAATAAATAGCCAAGCGAAAACGAGTTTTGGTTTATCGTTATAGAGATGATAGCTCATTTGAGCATTGACTATGATTGTATTTGTAGAAAAAAGAAAGAAATGCAACCTTAAAACGATGGAAAAGTGTTTTAAGCCTGGCGGATAAAGCAGGTCTAACTACATTTACAATATGCTTTTAGACTTTGTCTTAGAGTAAGAAGGTTGTTATTTGTCAATATAGGAATGCCACCAATATTGCAATATTTTTTTGCAGTAAATAAATGAGTTTTTTTGTCTACCAAAAATTGTGGATTTTAAGTCCAGAATGTAAATCCATGAGCCACTGCAAGTCTTAGGCTGTTACAATAGAGATTTAAAATTGGCTGCTTGTTCTAAGCAATTAAAAAGTGAAGATTTTTTGTTAAGTCAATAAAGTTGAGTTATCAGCAAATAGAGCTACTTTAGATTTCATTAAGATCGTTATTGTAGATAAGAAATAATTTAATAATCTCAAAAACTTTACACAGAAAATTTTAAGAAACTAATAACAGAAAAAAGAGTAATCGTAGGATACTTTGGAGAGGTCAAAGTGTTTTCTAGAATTTTGAAAAATTGGAACCACTTATTTAGCACTTTTTAAAAGTTTAGCAAAAATTTTAGAGAGTTCTGGAGAACTTTTTTTTAAGACTATGTTGGAAATCTTGTCTGAAACTTTAGAAGTGTTTAATTGAAAATCATTTTTAATATTGGAAGCCATAGTAATTTCGATATTTAACAATGGGTTAATTAGTTTATATAACAATGAAAAGATATTGTATGCCATATATATATATATATATATATATATATATATATATATATATATATATATATATATATATATATATATATATATATATATATATATATAGGTTTTATGGTTATTATATATACTTTATAGACAAATATCTATAGATAAAAGTTTTATCTATATTATTTACTTTTATTATATACTTTTAAAACAAATATTTATAGATAAATGTTTTATCTATAAATATTTGTCTTAAAGAGAAGATGATCAGATGGATGTGTAGTGTGACTCTAGCAAGACATAAAAAGGAGACATAATCTTAGACAGATTAGAAAAAACGTTGTATCAAACAACGTTTATTAGAAAAAGTTAAAGTAATTTAGGTATCAACATGTAGAGTGGTAGCAATTTCAGTAGAAAATGGTTGTGGTAGAAATAAGAACATTTGAAGAGTGTGCCTTACATATTGTATAAGCGAGCTTTAGTTGAGAATAAAAGTGCACTAGATTGTTTATATTAGAGAAACAGCTTAAATGAGAAAGGCTAAAGCCTAATGATGATGATGATGATTTTATAATAAAAATGATGATAATGATAACGATGATGATTATCATCATAATAACTGTCATTATCATTGTCAAGCATTGTCAAGACTTTCAAAGGTGAACACAATAAAAATAACTTATAAAAAAGTTGTTTAAAAACAAACCTCTCTAACTTTTATGAAGATCTTGAGCTAAAAAAATTCAAAGTACTAAATTGGTTCATTATATAAATATATACATACAAAATATTAATACATATCTATTATCTGCACAGACCATGATTTAGTACTAAACAATTTTTAATTTTAATTTTTAAAATTTTTAAGGGTCCTTTCAAGGTGCAATTATTAGGGCGTTTTGTATCATTTTAAAAAACGGCTTGTTTTCTTTGATTTGATTTTTCATTTATATTCAGTTTCAGAGATTACTCCGGAAATTTCGTAAAAGAGAAGGCCTGGTATGAGAATGAAGATATATTTTTTTTAATTAATAATTGTTTTAAATTAAAATATAGCAAATCCAGTAAATTTATCTCTCTATTCTCTATTAAAAGTTTTTTATTAGCAAAAAATTGTAACATAAAAAAACTAGACTTTAATCTATTTTTCTTCCTTCTCTGTTGTACTGAAAAACTGTAAAGAGAATGGTGTCTTGTCTTTTTTTCCTCTGCTCCTCCATTTCTTTTTTATAAGATCTAGATTTAACTCAATTGTCCTCTCAGAGCAGACATTAACAAAAAAAGTCTCTAGACTTTTGCTTTAAATTTTAGATAAAAATTGTTAAATTTTCAAAACTCTGGTCGAGTCTTCATCCATTGAATTTCTGCCTTGCATTTCCAAAACCAGCCACAATTTTCTGTTATAATCCGAGCCAAATTAACAGGCAAAACTTTATTGAAGTTAAGGCTATTCAATATAGCTATTAAATTATGATGCAGATACCAAATATTTCTGAGAATAGAGCTTGCAACAGTTCTTGAGTGAAGAAGATTCTATTTCTCAAACTTTTTCATTAGCCAGTAAGCTTTCATATCCATTCTGAATTTAAATTGTTATATGATAAAATACTATAAATATAAAATATTCATATTATAAATAACTTGAACTGCTTGCAAATAACTTGAACTATTTGCAATTTTCAGTCAGGTTTGGGATTTCATTTATTAAAAGATACGATCTTAAATAGTTTAAGCATTTTCCTATAAATTTTAAATGATGAACTGGTTCCGGTATGTAAAATTAAAATCTATTATATTTTTTTTACATTTCCATCCTTAAAGATTTTTGATATTTTTGAAGTTTTTTATACACATTACTTTTAAAAAATTAGAATAAATAAAAATATTATCTTTTTGAAGATCTTTAAAATGATTTAATCAAAAAATTATTACAAAACTGAACTGCAGCTAATTTTTTATACCCATGTTCTAGGTGGTATTATTATTCTCAGTTCCACAGTTATAGCATCTATACTGCTCCTGTTTTGTTTTAGAACTTTAAATAGTCAATTTTCTGGACCAGAAGTTTTGCTGTTAGAGTAAATCTTTAAGAAATGAACTACGTGTTACTTGATTAAAGGATGTTGTTATGTAATCAGCAACAAAGGATGTTGAATTTCCTCCATCAAAACAGAGACATTTAACCTTATCTTCTAATCCAAAAAAACTCCACCAATTCCATGACAGTTTGCTTTTCATTAACCTCTGAACTAGACTATTGGAGGAATGCCAAATAGTTCTGTTTTCTTATCAATCCTTACCAAACTGCAATTCTATCTTTCTTTAATTGCTTTCCCTCCACAAATTCATATAAAAAGCATATAGTAATTAGTGAATCTTATGATATTCCAGTGTTTATTATGTATTATCTAATTTCTTTTGCACTGGCTGATAAGTTTTCTACATCTCTATAAGATGTGAATAATTAAAGTTTGCTACACAACCACATGTCATGAGAATAAAACTCCACAACCCTCCACAAATTCATTCATAAAAAGCGTATAGTAATTAGTAAATCTGATGAGAAATAACACTTCTAATCAATGCTGTAATCAATGTAACCAATGTAATCAATGCCCTCTCCCACTTCTGTATGAGTGGTTGACTGAATAATATTTTTAGGAAGAAGAACAGAATTTTGAACATTAGGATGTTCATTAAAATAAGTTCATTTAAAGTCAATATCTGTTTCCTCATCTAATTTGTTGCTATGGTAACTAGAAGAACTTAGATAATCAAAATCATTTTTATACAATTCTGCTGATTTTTATTTAAATTTGATTTTTATTTAAGTTTGAATTTTAACTTCTTTAACTACTTCCTATAGAATATCTCTTCCTTCACCATGCTGGTCTTCTAAAATAGCAATATCTTCTTTATTGTCTTTCACTTGTCATTTTATCTTTTAATATTTACTCAAACATAACAATGTTCCCCAATCCAAATTTATTTATTTGCTCATCAAATAAATGTCTTTTCAGCAAAGAAATTTGCAGTTGCAAATTTCTTTGTTGAAAGTTTTTTATTAACTCTATAACTAAAAATATCTTATCCAACCTAATACTTCTAACTTTTTTTTGGTGGCATGTTATCAAAATTTTAAATATATAATCTAAAAAAAAATACATACAAAATATATTACAAGAAAACATATTATTTACTAAAAAAATTTAAAACATTTATTTAAAAAAATGCATAAAAATGTAAAGTGTAAAAATATTTTTATTTGTTAATCATTTGTGGAATTTATATTTTATAATAATTTACAAACATGGATATAAAAAATCCAAACATTTTAATATTAGGATTTCTACAAAATGTTTTAAAAATAGTACAAAACATCCTAAAAATTTCTACTTTTACTCCCTGTAGAGACCCTTAGGATTATATATATATATATATATATATATATATATATATATATATATATATATATATATATATATATATATATATATATATATATATATATATATATATATATATAAATATATATATATATATATACATATATATATATATATATATATATATATATATATATATATATATATATATATATATATATATATATATATATATATATATATATATATATATATATATATATATATATACATTTACATAAAATTACTTACATGTATATATCTTTCCACTCTCCCCAAGCCCTAGATAAAACAAATTTTTTATGTTTTAAATTAAGCATATTATTTTAAACAACTTTTTTTACAAATTAAAAACATGTTTACCTTTGCAATTTTGTTGTAAAAGTAATATCGTTTCTTTTACAATAACATCGTAAATGTTGTTCTGCAAATATTTCAGGTAGCATACGACTAACCTGTAACAAATATCAAACACTGTAAAGTTACAAAATGCATCGTAAATACGTAATAATGCAACAAGTATAATAATAAAAATGGTAAAATGACTATAAAATAAATAATATTTAATAAATTAAAAGTTATTTATAAAATAAAACTTCTCAGTATTTGAAACAAGCAGATAATAGAAATAATAACAGTAGATAATAAGATTAATTTAAGTTCAGTTTTATTTAAAAATATACATATAATAAAAAATAATAACAATTTTTACTTTATTTTAAATATTGGTAAAAATGGTTAGTAAAATATATAACATACTTGATCTTTTGGAAGAAGAACTGGTATATCCGGTTGGAGCTTGGTATAAAAGAAAACTTTATCAACAGGATTACTGTCTTTCATACCATAATCAAAACCAATGACCTGTGAAAAAATAATACAATATAAAAAAAATTAATTGCACCTTTTAAACGAAAATTTATAAAATAGTTTAAAAATAATTTACAAAATTATGAGCAAAATAATTCAAAAAATAATGAGCAAATAATAAGAAAGTAATTCACAAAATTATAAGCAAATTGTTTAAAAAATGTATTTTTATATTTATGTTATAAATAATAAAACAACACTTCATTTAAAAAGTTGGCTCTTAAATCAATAAAAAAAAAAAATTAAGGGGTGCTACATAACGATTGAGTATTTGACTGCTCACTAATGCTATTTTTAAATTTTTTAAAAGATTAACTTGGGTCTAAAAAAAAATCTCATTAATTTATACATTATAGTATCAAATGGTGCCCTTTTAACCTTTCAAAACATCTTTTTTCTTTTGTTTTTATAAATTTGCTTTTATAAATTTTCTAACAAAAAATAATTAAATTTTAATTATTTAATAAATTTTACTGTTGTACAAACAAAACATGAAATAATGTATTAAAAACAGTTGACCGACACACCTTTATAATTTATATTTAATTAACTATAATTTATTTAAACTATAACTAACTATAATTAACTTATAGATTTTGATAATTAACAAGCATAAAGTTATAAAAATTTTAGTTTATTTAATTCAGTTAAAATAAACTATAAAGAAATGATGAATATATTTCTTATTGTTATGCGCTGGTCTCTTATAAGTGATGTATAAACTTATATCACACAGCTAAATATGCCAATATCTTTGAGTGTAGTTGTTGTAATTATAATTTGTGAAATTTGAATAATATACAAACCTATAAAACCAATATCAGACTTAAAATCTAAATTAATTCTGTAAATCATCTTTGTAAGAAAACCCCACGAGCACTATTGATACAGTTTAGCTACGATCAGGAGCTCATCAGGCATTTGGCTAAAAGGATACCTGAAAAAGACATTCTGGGATCTGGACTACCAAATTATTATAAAATCTGCCTCATCTACTGTGGATGCAACACTTGTAATTTGAGCAAAAGCTCAAACAGCACATTGAGTTTGTAAACTTCAAAAAATGTATGAAGAATACTGTACCCTGAAAAAACATTAACTTCTCAACAAAGAAAGATGTAAATTCAACGAGGAGCAGTTCAAGGTAGACCTCGATGATCTCTTTGAAATCTTGAAGAAAAATCCCACATGAAAAAGACAAACTATTCCTCCAAAGTGCAAGTATGTCTGGTGTTGGCATATTTGATAAATAAAGAGGCCTAAATAATCCTTCAAAAAAAAATCAATAAGCTGCTCAAAAACAAAAGTGTGCAGGAGAAATGCAGCAAGCCACTGAGTCTGTTTTGCTATCAGCATCGGATTCTGAAGATAACTTCCATGCAACGAAGTGTTGTATTACACTGTAAGTAAAATATCTTGGTCCTACAAAAGAGTCCAATAGAGCACTGTTTAAGCATTTTGATAAGATGTGACCATATATAAAAAATTCAGACTTTAAATCTGCTATTGATGACTTAATCAGTATGTATTCGTTTCATCATGGACTTTCAACAGGAAATAATAACATTCTATACCCAGGTACTTAAGATTCAAGTGCCATGAGAAGATTATCTGGAGCAGCAATGTTTATCTATGCATAAACATCTGTCATGATTTTCCAGGTGGATCATTTGATGGAGAAGTAAATCCATGTTTTGCGTGCACCTGGTGCAAACCACAACACCAAATGAATGGCAAAGGCAATTTACGCTTTGAAGATTCTTTATTTCCGTGACCATTTGAAATTGGGTGCATGTGAAAAAACTGAGTTAAGGTCAACTTTTCTTTTCATCTCTTTTATATACGCTCACTTTTGGCATAAGATTTGTTAAGTATGCACCTTTCAATGATCTTACTTTTCTTTATGAATATTCAGAAGCCAAAACATTACATTAGAAAAGTAGCTGTAGAGAAATTTAATCAGCATTTGCAGAATTTCTCAGAGCACCGCCTCAAAATTATGATTGCTTGAATATTTAAAAATTTATTTTGTTAAAAAAAAATTGTTTTAAGCTATTACAAGCATTAAGAATGGGAACTAAGTAACTAAGTAACTAAGTAACTAAGTAAGAATGGGAATAATATATTTAACTAAGTAAAATTTACAAGCTTACATGAATTACAATATCATCTGGATCAAAATCATCCACTTCATTTGAGTTGCAGGTGTTTACTTTCAGAATATCAGTAATTTCATGCCTAATATTGTGAATGTCTTTCTAAATCAAATTTTTTTAAAGATTTTAAAATAAAAAAAATTATAAACAAACACAAAAACCAATACTAAACAAACACAAAAAACATTATTTCATGTTATAGAAATCATATTAACATATAATACTATATAGATATGTTATATATATATGACTACAAAAATTTTTAATTTGAGCTTATTTAATTTATTTAAAAATACAATGTAAAGGTGCACCTATGTAAACATATAAGTACACAACTTTTATAAAACAATTAATAAAGAGCACACTGTTGCAAGTAGCAATGCAGAAACAGTTTACAGGGAAAAAATAAAATCAATATTAATTGTATAAATATACTTTATAACTCTCTCTCTCTCTCTCTCTCTCTCTCTCTCTCTCTCTCTCTCTCTCTCTATATATATATATATATATATATATATATATATATATATATATATATATATATATAGTTGCTTCTCTTTATCAAGCTTGCCACTTTCTTACTCTGGATTCTATTCTCTATCTCTATAAATCTAAAATTCTCTGTCACATCGTCGTAATGTTGCTTCTCTTTCTCTTTTCTACAAATACTATAATGGGCACTGCTCGAAAGAGCTAGCGTCTCTTGTGCCATCTACTAAAATTCATTCTCGTGTTACTTGTTATTCAATTAAGTCTCATCCTTTTTCTGTTACTGTTCCTAAGTGCTCCAAAAACTCTTATTTGTCTAGTTTTTTTCCTCGAACATCAGTTCTTTGGAATTCGCTTCCTTCATCTTGCTTTCCTGATTCATATAATTTGCAATCTTTTAAGTCATCTGTCAATCGTTATCTTGCTCTATAATCTTAATCTTTTCTCTTCCAGTAACTTCCAACACTAATTAGTGGTTGCTTGCAGCCTTGTTGGAAGCGAAGATAATTAAAAAAATAAAATATATATATATATATATATATATATAATATATATAAATATAAGTAAAGCTACAAGTAACCACTATTAAGTTGGGAGTTACTAGAAAATGAATAGTGTTAAAGAGCAAGGAAACACTTGACAGAAGACTTAAAATCTGTGGAGTATATGAATCAGGAAAACATAAAGATAGGCTTGAGTTCCAAAGCATTGACCTGTGAGGAAGAAAACTTGATGAATAAAAGAGAACGAAGAGATGATGTAGTAAAAAGATACAACTTTGCTGAATTACAAGCCAAGCAAAAATGAGCTTCAGTTTTCAACTAGAGATGACAGCTCCTTTGAGTAGCAACCATGGTAGCACATATAGAAAAGATAACTTGGCAAAATAGAGCAAATCTAACTAAACATGCAATCCGTTTTTGGACTTGTATGAAAACATGTTCTATACAGAGATGAATAAATGATTTATAGAGATAAATGAAATCAGAAATCATTTATCAATATATAAATGCCAGCAACATTGTGAGTTATTTGCAATAAATAATTTTTAGATAGAGTTTTGTTAGAGTTAAATTAACAAGCCACTGTAAACCCCAAGTTGTCACAGAAAAGAGACCAAATTCAAAATCTGTTGCTTGTTCCAAGCAACCAAAAAGAAATTTTTTTTTTGTTAAAACAGTAGTATAAAGTTGAGTTTCCATAAAAAATTACTTTGAATGTAAGATTGTCCAGAAATTAATGCACATTAATGTAGATAAGAAGCAATACAGGACCAAGGATAACCCCCCCCCTAACCCCAGTAGTTACTAGAAATAAAAAAGTGAAGAATGCTTTCAAGAATGACTTTATTACTGCAGTTAGAAAGAAATAAATTGAAACTTTTTTAGATGCACCATATAAAGGAAGCTTATGGAGAAGATCAGCATGCAAAAATTGCCAATCGAAACCATTACTTCCATATCTATCAGCAAAACAATTCTCCAGAAAACAGACGTCTGTTTATTACTGCTAGGAACCATTGTAAAAAGGTTTTGTCTAACGCCAAAGCCTGCTATTCTCAGATCATGAAATCTTGTATTTATATCTCAAAAATTAGGCTCTTGTGACTTCTGGAGAATCTTTAATAGTATTAATAATAAGGGCAAGTCTGTAATTCCACCTCTTTTGCATGGTTCAGACTTTGTCATCTCACCTAAAGACAAAGCTGAATTGTTTGCTCAGAACTTTTCATCAATATCATTCCTTGATTCTACTAATTGCGTTCTACCTGATATAGCCGTCAAACAGGTTTATCCATTGCTCAACATCCGTATCACTCCAGCTTTTATATCTAAAGTGATTTTCTGCTTAGATACTTCTACAGCTTGCAGCCCGGACAACATATCTGTTATAATCATGCAGAAGTGTTATCCGGAGCTGTCGTCTATCCTTTCAAAACTATTGAACAAGTTCAGAATCTTGTTTTCCTGCTTACTGGAAAGCAGCATCTGTTTTTTTTTTTAAAATTATCTGGAGAACGATTTGATTTGTCTAACTACCGTCCCATTAGTCTTCTTCCTATCATAAGCAAGGCTTTTGAATCTTTAATTAACAAACACTTAATCTCTCATCTTGAATTAAATAACTTACTTTCTGATCATAAATATGGATTTTAATCTTCTCGTTCTACGGCTGGTTTGCTAACAATAATAACCGATAGATTTTATTGCGCATTAGATAAAGGTGGAGAGGTTAAGGCCATCAGTCTTGACATTTCTAAAGTGTTTGATAAAGTTTGGCATGCTGGTCTTCTCCATAAGTTTTATTCTTTTGCTGTATCTGGTAACATCTTTAAGATTATTGAATCCTTCCTTTGCAATTGTAGTATAAAAGTTGTCCTTGATGGATAGCACTCTTCTTTTTATTCTCTAACCTCAGGGGTTCCTCAAGGTTCAATCCTTGGCTCAATACTCTATTTAATTTACATAAACAATCTTCCAGATATTCTCATATCTGAGGTGGCATTGTTTGCTGATGATACTACCATTTATTCTTGTCACGATAAGAAGCCAACTCCCTCTCAATGCTTGCAAGGGGCATTTGAGCTTGAAAAGGATCTCACTTATGCTACAGCATGGGGCTCAGTGGCTGGTGAACTTTAATTCAGATAAAACTCAATTTTTTTCAGCCAATCATTATCGCAATAATTTAGACCTTCCTATATTTATAAACTATAATGTACTCGATGAGTCATCTACTCTTAATCTTCCAGGATTAACTCTTACTTCTGATCTTTCTTGGAAACCTTATATCAAATCCGTTGCAAAATTAGCATCTGCTAAAGTTGCATCTCTTTATCAAGCTCGACACTTTCTTACTCTGGATTCTATTCTCTACCTCTATAAATCTCAAATCCCGCCTTGTATGGAATACTGTTGTCATATCTGGGGCGGATCTTCTAATGACGCCCTTTCTCTTTTAGACAAGGTGCAAAAACGCATTGTAAACATAGTTGGACCTGCTCTTGCAGCCAACCTTAAACTATATCACATCGTCGTAATGTTACTTCTCTTTCTCTTTTCTACAAATACTATATTAAGCACTGCTCTAAAGAGCTAGCGTCTCTTGTGCCATCTGCTAAAATTCATTCTTGTGTTACTCATCATTCAATTAAGTCTCATCCTTTTTCTGTTACTGTCCCTAAGTGCTCCAAAAATTCTTATTCATCTAGTTTTTTCATTTGAACATCAGTTCTTTGGAATTCGCTTCCTTCATCTTGCTTTCCTGATTCATATAATTTGCAATCTTTTAAGTTGCCTGTCAATCGTTATCTTGCTCTACAATTTTCATCTTTTCTCTTCCAGTGACTTCCAACACTAATTAGTGGTTGCTTCCAACCTTGTTTGAAGCGAAGATGTTTTTTTTTAAAAAAAAAAAAAAGTTATTTCTTTTATGGCTTAAAAATCCTAAAATCACTTCTTCAAGAGCTTCCCAAGTTTCCTTTTCTTGCCTTTTCAAAATTTCATCAAATGTAGGATCCTAAAAGAATGCCCTTCTTATTGTTTATACTTTTGACAAAAATTTTCATTAAACCCAACTTAACATATAATGGTGGAAAAAGAAAATCTTTTGGATCCGACATGGTTTAGCAATAACATTTTTTTCATCTGTGTTGAGATTTCTTGCAGGCCAGTCTTCTTTATATAATGTGAACTTCTGTCTCTACTGTCCCACATACACGAAAAGCAGCAGTATTTAGTACACCTTAATTGCATTCCTAAAAGTATAGCAATGACTTTTAGATCATGACATTGTAACTAATTGAATTAAGGAAAACTTTCATATTTATAGAAGTTTCTTCCATGTGAATTGTATGGCCAATAGGAACAGAAGGAATACGGTTTTTATTGTGCAGTAATACAGCTTTCAAGCTTAGCTTAATTGAGTCTATGAACAATCACCATTCAGTTGGATCATAATTCAAATTAAGACAATACACTAAACCTACAGGCATCAAAGACAACAAGATTATTTTTCTTCTCAAAAAAAAAGAAGCAGATTCTGCTGTGGTTTTCTGTAATGTGAAACCTTGACATCAAATTAGAGAAGAGTTCACTGCTTTAGTCTTGCCCTAGAAGTTTAGTCTTGACCTTAGAAGCCTTCAACATGTCCAGATCTTGAACAAGATTACTTAATTCTGCTTGACTCAATCTGTGTGGCACATCATCTGTTAACACAAATTCATGATAATTTGATGTTCCTATTTTATAAACAAACCTGCCTTGATGGGGAGGGGGGGGGGGGTCAAGCAGAAATAGCAGTCATTTGTATGGTTTTTAGGCTCCCTCCATATCATAGGAGCAGCAAAAGCCAAAGATATTTTTATATCTTTCAACTATTCTTGCAGTGTAACTGAACAAGAGCTTCAGCATATAAGTGGAGCAAATGACTTATCCTTACTTTCCCTACCTTCACATCAAAGTAATGCCAGTAAGCAGTCTTCACAAAAAGAATCATAATTTTTTTCTGTGAGGAAAATGTTATTTCACCACAAATGTAACAAAAATTGTCCACTAAATTTACACACTTCCTTGGCATGTTGATTTGTCAAATTTTACACTAGTAAATGAAAA